AACGCGTTCAAGATCGCATGCCCACCAGTGGGTTACTCCGCAACAAAAGTCATTTTACACGTTGGAACCGGGTGATCGTGACCCGTGACTCGTGGGCACTTTAAGTGAAATAAATCTAAGGGTTAAATAATATCTACCTCAAATTATTATACACTACACGTATTTAAAAAATTATATACGTAATTAACAATAAAACATGTCGGTCAACAATGCAATGCGGTCTACAACGTGTTAATAATAATAATAATCTCAGAACAATTCACACAGCGCCATCTAGTTCTAAGTTACGATAACTAAAGCTTGTGTTATGGGTACTAGTTAACTGATAAATACATAGAAATATTTTTTTCGTAAATACATTCATATCTTATTTATATGTGTAGTATGTTTATAATATATATAAATATGTATGTATGTATGCTCATAATTCGTTTGTATGTAGTATATTATCATGTATATGTATGATCTTATTAATATAATTACATTTAATTTCTTAAAAAATCCTTACTATCTCACTGATAATATAATTTCTTGCTCATGATGAATATTATAAATATGAATTCAAAAGTGCTTGTAATGAGTTTATTTGAATAAAGATTATTTCTATTTCTATTTCTATTTCTATTTCTATTTCCCTAAGGTTGGCTGGTAGAGAATGCTATTAGCATTAAGCCCGCCTATTGTACAAATCAATAAAGTTTTAAAGAAATAAAGAAATAAATAGATAATATTATATACTAGATGTGCCCACGGTTTCGCCTGAAATTTCAAAAAAAGATTTAGTCAAGTCAATAGTTTCATCAAAATCCGTTCAGTAGTTTTTGCGTGTAATAGTAACAAACATCCGCGTCTATAATATTATTAAGATTAAGATAGAAAACACCCAGACCGTTACAAACATTCATACTCATGAATACAAATGTTTGTGCCGTGCGAGGAATTGAATCCGCGACCATCGGAAGTAAGGCGGTGTGCTAAACCATTAGACCACCTTGACCGTGGAAACCGACATGATGAATTCACAGTGAATTTACCACAATGACGTAACTGAGACCTCATGCTCATCTTATCACACATAACGACTTATACCTAGGGGGAAGTTTTTTTAGTAATGTGGACTCAGACCCCATTACTAGCAATGTACCATATCAGGTTGACGTCCACGGTTCCCCCTGGAAACCATCGTCATAACTTCCTGGTGAATTTGTCGCGATGGGCTAACTAACCTGACCTCATGTTCATCTGATCATCCTCTACTGGTGCCCCGCCAGCGTAAACCGTTAGCGCAGGGTGCACCATTCCATTATCAACCATAAAAAAAAAGGCCTTATACCTACGTTAACCTTGTGTGAAACTCAACGAGGTGCGTGGATGTAATTGTGTAAATAATTATAAAACACGAAGTCTATACATATAAATAAAATTTATGTCTGTTTGTAATATTGAAATAACCGTTTTTTACTACATGCATATGATATAAATATACATACATCAAAATATCATATTTTTATAATCTCTGAAATGCCTCGACCAATTTTGACGGGACTTTTTTGGCAGGTAGCTAATGTAAAAAGGAGTAACTTAGGCTACTTTTATTCTAGAAAATTGTTTTATTTTAGTAAAATTAAATTAAATTCGACGCGGCCGAAATAGTTGTATTCATAATTATATATATATATACTTATGTGCCCGCGACTGCTATATTTACTTGTTTTTTTTTAAATAAAAGAATTTTCTCTTATCTCTTTCATCTTATCACCGTCCACTGGTGCCCCGCCAGTGTAAACCGTTAGCGCAGGCGGGTGCACCATTCCATTATCATCCATAAAAAAATCTTATATATAAAATTCTCGTGTCACAGTTTTCGTTCCCATAATATTATAATGATGAATGGTGATCGTAAATGTGTTGAGAATTAATATCATAAATTTTTTTTATGAATGGTAAATAAATAAAATTGACTTTGTGTGATATAGGCCCATCTTCATATTTGATCGTTAATTGCCACTGATGACGTTAATGTCATTTTGACAGCTAACAGTTGAAAGTCATGAACTTTTGTTATTTGTTGTTGACTTAAGAATATGTGCCGAATGGCATAAAATTGACTTGTTGACCAAAAACATTACGAATAACTCTGGCTTCTATGTGTGTCGTGATTAATTTAAAAAAGATAAATAACACATAAGATTATAAATGCGTAATACATAAAATATAATATTATATATAAAATAGCATATATATATGTATATATAAACATAAACTATTTATTATATAAATAATGTAAATATGTATATGTGTGTCATCTATATAAATATATATGATAAACACCTAGTGAAACACAACTAGCCCTACGAAAACTTCTGCTGTATCAAATCGCAGCTGAAGTCAATATACATGTTAATAAAAAAAATAAAAAATGTCAGTGAAACAAATAAAATAAATAAAAAAAAACAACACGGCTAATGTTCGACTGGTTCATGTGCTAGAGAAGGCACGTATCAAACTATTAATTGGAGCTATCAAGTCACGCGCAACCTACAACTGTCACATGATTTGCGAACCAAATTAATGTGCGGATTCTTTACACGCAAGACGGATGGTGGGCCTGTTAACTAAGTAGGTACTTATCTTCAATTCTTTTAAGGCTCGCCATCAGGAACTCTGGCTTTCGAATGGCGTAACATGTTGCAAAACTAACAAGGGACCATTTTAGTGTCCTTAAAATGTTAATGAAGACTTGCTGGTGCTTAAAACTGACGGCCTCGGTGGTCTAGCGGTTTAGTACACCGCTTTACTTCCGATGGTCGCAGGTTCGATAACTCGCACGGTGCAAACTTTTGTATTCGTGAGTATGATTGTTTGTATCGGCCTGGTTGTTAATAATATATATGAAAGTATTTATATCAGTTGTCTAGTATCATAACACAAACGGAATGGCAACCTATGAATGGTACTACAGTGGTCACATGAGGACGTAATATTCATAGTGCCATTGGGCTATAGAATGAATGGACTGAAATTTAAATGAAATGACTGAATGAAAATTTAAATTAGATCTATATACGGAACTGGACGGTAGGAAAAAAATTATAAAAAAAAATACGATCATAAGTGGCTAAAACGTCCTACATGAATAAATGATTTTTGAATTTGAATTTGAATAAATAGATACTTATAATAAAGATACGAGTACAGACAGTAGCAAGGTAAAAATGACATAGGTTCATGACAGGTTAACATAATAAGAGCATGGACTTTGTGTCTGTGGAAAGAAAAAAAAAGGTAATAATGAAATTAAAAAAATATGATAATTCTACTTATAAAGTAAATACATTTAAAATTGGTAGAAAAATCCTTACTATTATCACTGATAATATAATATTACATACTAATATTATAAATGTGAAAGTAGGGATGTTTGTTATGCTTTCACGCAAAAACTACTGAACCTGAACTCTGTATTAGAATGAACATAGGATAATTTTTATTTAAAAAAAAAACAAATATTTTTTTATTAAATGAATTGAATGCGAGCGAAGCCGCGGTTAAAAGCCAGTAAGTATATAAAAATGTGCAAAGAGTTTGCAACAGTGCCTTTTACCACCACCGTCATATTTACTTTTAAGCATAAAAAAAAGTAGGATGTGTTGTAAAAAACCGGAAATAAAGTAATTAACGCTAATCCAGAAGCAAATATACATACATACACGACTTATTTAAGTTTTTTATGCAACGCAATTTCTCTTTTTACCTGCCAGTAGGTATATTGAACTTGTCACATAACATGTTTAACAATGAAGTTCATGACATTCGACCGCGTTTAGTGTTGAGATTACCTCATCTTGGCATAACGATCAAATATGAAGAGCGGATATCATTACCAAAAATGTAATATTATACCATTCATAAGAAAAATTTATGAATATTAAATACAACACATTTACGATCACCATTCATCATTATAATATTTTGGGAAAGAAAATTGACGGACGGGCATCTATGACATTTGGCCGAATTTAGAGCAGAGATTACATAATCTTGGCATAAGTTATATGAAAAGCAAATATTGATACCAAAAATACAAAAATATAGCAGTATAATGTATATATATTTTTTAAGATGAATATGAAATTTCGGAGAAGAGAAATTTCATATTCGTCCTTCAAAAAAGAAAGTAAAAAGGCGGGAGACTGCATTTATAATGATAATAGCCTATCGTGACGAATTTAAATATACATGTTTTTATTTCCCTAGCATAGATTTTAGAATATAAGTTAGTTTTAGAAATCCCCAAGAGGCTGTCAATTCAGTTACCCGGTGGTTGTTGCCCCCGGAGTCGATGCCGGGGCAAATGGGGATCGCCCCAAGGCCTTCACCCTAGGGGGGTGCAGAAGATTAGCGTCATATCATGTCAGGTATTTGTTTTTATTACGGTTTTATAATCATCATTCATCGTCTATCATAAATATATTAATATTTTTTCCTGCTATTTTTATTTTAAATGTACTAACTACTGAAACATTATTCTGAGTACTACAAACTATATAAAGATATTACATAAGTATTTATTTGATCTAAGTATTTTATAATTATAGGTCAAAATAATAGAATTATAGGTAAATTATTTCAAATTACAGACTTATGAATCCAGTTTCAATGAAATTGGTACCTTGATAACGGGAGATAAAATATAAAAAGTTAAGAATAAAAGCCAGGCTGTTAAGTTAAAGTCTTACAGAACTTCTTTTGAAGTATTATCTTCTATCTACGGGCGCATTGGCTGTACAGTTTAGAAACTTTTGCCCATTTGTATGACAAATAGAATATATAACAACATGCGTGTATGTCACTTGCTTTTTTTTTTCGGTTCGGTTTTTCCTTTCATAGGGAAATGCAAAAGGACCAGAAGAGAAAGCCCATACAGCCATATGTCACTTGCTGTTCTAAATTAAGAAATGTCAACGTCACTGTCAAATCAATTTGTCATGTTACCTACTTCGAACAGGTACACGAAAACCAAATAATAATTTACAGTTTTCTAATTTCTATACTTATTTGATAAATTCTTTAATGAATCATGGCTTATTTAACCCAGTCCGACTATGTGAAATATATTTGTTCTTGCGGGCAACTGAAACCCATTACAAGTCTATATTTTTGTCGTCATTGCTTGAAAATTCGATGTGGATTCTGCATTTGTCATGAGGTAAACCGATTTTTACATTGTATTTTATTTTTAATATATTATATAGAATAAAAATAAATTACTGCATGTACTAAAATGAATAAACGTAAAATTATTTACTTTGTTTATAACATTTAATTTAAGGCTGTATAAATGTGTACCTTGACACACCTTAACCATTATATGTATTGTTATTCTCCGAATAGCACTGAACTGAATACAAAAGATTTTTGCGCCGTATTTTAAAGGTATTTCTATGTTTTTGATAACGAATAACGTAATATAGTTGTTTTAAAATAATAATAATAATATTATTACTCAATTTAAGGCTAATTCTTAAAATGTTTTCTATATTTTGTCATTTAGTGTATGTTTATACTTATTAATTTATTGTATGTACACTACAATATTACTAACAATTGAATTTTATATATATAATAAGAACTTGCCATACAAAGTTAAAATAATATTCTTACATTTACCTATTGGTAACAATTTTATTGTAATTTCCACCATAGAATAACTATGTATACATTACTGTTAGTTTTTAATTCATATATTTAAATCTTAATTATGTGTACGTGAAATTAGAATGTAATCTGAATTTGATGGTAGAAATAAAAAAGTTTTTATAAATTATTAATACATAGTTAAATGAGTTTTAATACTGACAATTTTATGGTAAATAACCTAAAACAGTTTTAAATATACTAATAATGTGTATCAAAGACGAAACTAATAGCATGTATTGTAAATTATTAAGTAAATTTCTGTAAGCTTATTAAAAAAATATTTCTTTCATTATCATCAGGTGGATTCCCATTACTGTGCAAACTGTCTGGAGAACATGCCGTCTTCTGAAGCCAGGTTGAAGAAGAACCGCTGCAGCAGCTGTTTTGACTGCCCCAGTTGTTTTCACACCCTGTCCACTCGTGCCACATTGGCACAGCCCCGACAAACTGTACAGGATCCCGCAGCGAGCGGAGATGCTAAAGTGGAGAACAAACAGCCCAAAAAGATGTATTACTTATCATGTTTTAACTGTAGATGGACATCTAGAGATGTTGGGATTCCAGATCAGCCTGTTGGTAAGTAAACATTATTAGTTTCTAGCTACCCATCATGTATTATACACATAAACCTTCCTCTTAAATCACTCTATCTATTTAAAATAACCGCTTCAAAACCCATTGCGTAGTTTTAAAGATTGAAGCATACATAGGGGCGGATGGATAGTGACAGCAACTTTGTTTTGTACTATGTAGTGATAGAGAAATGACATAGACACAAAGTTTAAATGTTTATATCTAATATATAAAATTCTCATGTCAAGACATAAGATTATAGCCGGAAGGGCTGATCGCAGATAGAGAAAAAAAAAAAAATGTCAAGACATCAGTGGAAGAGAATAACATACTGCGCCAACCCCAAATAATGAGTTAAAGGCAAGATGATGATGATAATGATATAAAATTCTCATGTCACTAGTTTCGTGTTTATACTTCTCCAAAACTTGACTGATCTTGATGAAATTTTCTATGTATATTTAGTAGGTCTGAGAATAGTTTTAGAACCAATTCATGTACCACTGAATTTGGTATTATTATAAAAAATGAATTTTATTTTTTCGACAAATTTTAAAAATTTTTGTTTTTATTATGTAGCATTAAAAAATGCATACAATCTTAAATTCACCCTTCTATCACCAACTCCTATTTTTTAGAGCATTATTAATTTATATGGCAAAACAACATTTGCCGGGACAATTCACACAGTGCCATCTAGACCCAAGTTAAGCTAGCTAAAGCTTGTATTATAAGTACTAGATAACTGACACATATACATAGATATTATTATTTCGTAAATACATACATATTATACATAGAAAGTATGATTGTTAGTACCAGTCTGGGTAAGACTGGTACTAACAATCATACTCATGAATATTTGAAATTGAAACATTTTTACTGTGCAAGGAATCAAACCCATGATTGTTGAAAGTAAAGTGGTGTGCTAAACCCCTAGATCCACCGAGGTGGTCGATAATATGTCCATTATTTATTATATCTGTTTAAATATTATTTATTTTATGATTATAGCATCTGGTGGGTGGCCTGAACGAGCCAATCCATTTGCAACTCGCATGAATCAGCTCCTTGACTACTACAAAGCTATAGCACAGCAGGAGAAACAGGAGAAACTGGAGAGAGAGAGGAAGAAGTTTGCCATCAGAGGGAAATATATTACACTTACTGTAAGTATATCTTCAGAATCATAATTTTCAATTGATTAGCAAATTTTTTTTATAATTAGGATGATATCTATGCAATACAAACGTGGTTGCATATCATGTACATACATAAAAACACCCAGGCCAATACATAGAATCATACTTGTGAATACGAATGTTTGTACCGTACCAGGGATCGAACCCGCGACCATCGGAAGTAAAGTGGTGTGCTAACCACAACCACTAGATCACCGAGGCCTTCACCCATATATTATTATTATCAAATACAAATGATCATAGGATCATACATACAATACAAATGTTTGTACCATGTCAGGAATCGAACCTGTGGTTATCGGAAGTAAAGCGGTGTGCTATTTACGCTAGTCCACTGAGGCTGTACGAGCTAGCATCGTATTATTTAATACTAACATTTTATTTCATTTTACAATTCATATGTCATCAAAAGTTTCTATAATTGTCATTTATCAGTTTTACCAGAACAGAATCTTTATAATTTCAACAACCCGAATAGAGGCTATCTCCCATATACCACATTATCAGTAACTGTCACTTTTAGGATAAAACCGGCTTAACTGGCGCCATGGCTCGTAACATAGCTGGACTTCCATCAAGTGATGGTGGCTCATCCTCAGCCATCGCTAACTTCGTCGCCAGCCAGGCCAGCGAAGATATTGACGAATTACCTGAAGACATCTACACTAAAGAAGTTAATTTAAACCAAAGTCAGTATATAATACACTAGCTGTGCCTGCGACTTCGTTCGCGTGGTTATCAAAATCATCATTGCGATTATCTTTTGATTTTCCCCGTTTTTGCAACACTTTTCACTGATGCTTCGCTTCTATTGGTCGTAGCGTAATGTTATATAGTTTAAAGCCTTCCTTGACAAATGGACTATCCAACACAAAAAGAATTTTTCAATTCAAACCAGTAGTTCTTGAGATTGATACGATCAAACAAACAAACAAACTCTTCAGCTTTATAATATTAGTACAGATTGTACAATAATGTACGTAATTTTTTAAGGTTTTATTCTTTTTATTGTTGTAATTTTTTTTACATTATCAATATATTATATTTTTATTTTCCTATATGCTCAATGTTGGGGAACTGTAAAGCTCCGTTAATTTTGATATTAACAAATAAATATTTTCCCACAGTAACAAGCATGCCACAGCGGCTAGCATCTCCCGAATGGCAACCCGTATCAGTATCCCGACTACACCCGCTGGCAAAGTTGCTCAGCGTGAAGCGCAGCCAGCGCTGCAGGGTGTGCGACCACAACCTCACCAAGCCAGAGTACAACCCTGGCTCTATCAAGTTTAAAATTGAGCTACTAGCTTAGTGAGTATCTTTTATTATTCTATATCTTTATTTTGCCCCTGAACAATACACATCTGGTGGGGGGAAGGGGATTGTTAGTAATGTGGACTGATGACCCATTGCTAACAATGCATCATGTCAGGCTGGCTTCCAGCAAGCCATCATGATAAATACCTGGCGAATTTGTCACGATGGGCTAACTGACCTGACCTCATGTTCATCTTATCATCCTCCACTGGTGCCCCGCCAGCGTAAACCGTTAGCGCAGGCAGGTGCACCATTCCATTATCATCCATAAAAAAAATACACATCTGGTCCCACGGTAATCAGACCTTGTATTATAGGTACTAGATACTTATAGAAATACTTAGATATATATTTGTTGTAAATACATATATAATGTACATAGAAAACAACCAGACTGATACCAACAATTATACTCATGATTACAAATGTTTGTACCGTGCGAGGACCGTGTTTGTGACGTCCGTATAAACGTGACCATGGGAAGTTAAGATCTGTGGCAAACCGCTAAACCACAGAGACCGTCAAGTAGCAGATCAGTATAGGAGCAGGTCTCGGTGTCGAAAGTTTGTTATAAGTGAGTGTTTTGTAAGCTTATATGTAACCTCCAATAACTAGGGGCCTTGAAGGAGACCTATGTCACGTCATAACAAACTGTTGACATTCAGATGGAAAAAAAGAAACAATAAATTAATAAATATAAACTAACAGGAACACAGTTACTGCAAAACATATGAGATTTTTTTTATGGATGATGCACATGCCTGCGCTAATGGTTTACAATGGCGTGGCACCAGTGGAGGACGCTAATTTGAGCATGTTATGGTGAGGTCAGTTTGGCCATCGTGGCAAATTTACTAGGAATTTATCATGATGGTTTCCAGGGGGAACCACGTGAAGATAAACCAGAAATGGTTCGTATATTGTGGACAATCGAAAGTAATAATTGGTATATGAGAACTGGCCAAGTCAGACCTTACAGACCGTCTACAGTATATTATCCTAAGTTATAAGAAGAAATTATCCTTACTAATATTATAAATGCGAAAGTAACTCTGTCTGTCTGTCTGTCTCGCTTTCACGCCAAAACTACTGAACCGATTTAAATGAAATTTAGTACGCAGATAGTCTAGACGCAGAGGAAGGACATAGGCTACTTTTTAATGCGTAAAAAGGGTTGTAAGGGGTTCAAAATTGAAATACAAGGTTATCTTTATGCGGTTGAATCCTTATTCGTCATCTTTTCATTTCACTAGCTAACAACCAATCAACACATCGCTTGCGTTTGCGCCATTCGCCATCTTTTCATTTCACTAGCTAACAACCAATCAACACATCGCGTGCGTTTGCGCCAATAAGGTATCCATCACAGAGAACAAAACCACAGATAACATAATGTAAAACGAAAGATCTTGCCGGAAACATGACGTTGACGTTTAGTGAAAATATTGTTTTTGACACTTTTTTATGATAAAATCGTATATCGTGTGTATGTGTTTTTTCTTTAAACCTGAAATTGGCCGATTGCGAGACAAATTTGGCGATTTTTTTTATTAATTTGTTTTACGGCACTGGATACAAGTCCTGTTTAGCCCAACTTAAAGTTTTACAATATAAATTACAAAAATTAAAGTCAATGTCCAATGTTAAATAATAATAAATGTCAAATGTTGTTTCCCAGTTCTGACAAACTTAAAAAAAAAACTTAATAACAATCACAATTTTTTCACATTTTATTATTTACATTTTTTAAAGAATGTTGTGGTGTGGCTTTATCCGAAATTAAATTATTTACCCATTTTTGTAGGTTATACAGAAATAATGTGTGGGTGTTTATTTAAAAAGCATTAACACAAAATTAATAAAGTATAGGTATTAATAAATATATGGTTGTTGTATCAAAATAGAATTTTCTTATTTTTCACTAAAATAAAAACTAACTGTCTTTTTTATAAAATAAATGACCTGTTCATTGTGCCATATATTATGGAACTATTTAAATTATTTAGTTGATTGTAAGAAACAAAATGTTGGTTTGTAGATTAAATAATAGTAGATTAATACTGTAAAATTATTATTTGTACGGAAACGATAAAAATATATTTTTGTGCTGCGACAAAAACTAATATTATAAATGTGAAAGTAACTCTGTCTGTCTGTCTCGCTTTCACGCCAAAACTACTGAACCGATTTGAATGAAATTTGGTATACAGATAGTCTAGACCCTGAGAACGGACATAGGCTACTTTTTAATGCGAAAAAAGGGTTGTAAGGGGTTAAAAGGGGGGATGAAAGATTGTATGGAAGAATCGTCATTTTTGAAGCTAGAAGCTTGAAACTTATTTTTGAGGCTGTTTATTAAATATAAATAAAAATGACATTCAATGTTTGTAAAAAATTACCCTTAAGGGGGTAAAATAAAATAGGGGATGCAAGTTTTTATGTAAATTCGTCATTTTTGAAGCTAGAAGCTTAAACTTATTGTTGAGCCTATTGATTAAATATAAATACATATGACATTCATTGTTTGTAAAAAAAATACCCTTAAGGGGGTAAAATAAAATAGGGGATGCAAGTTTTTATGTAAACACGTCATTTTTGAAGCTAGAAGCTTGAATCTTATTGTTGAGACTGTTGATTAAATATAAATACATATGACATTCATTGTTTGTAAAAAAAATACCCTTAAGGGGGTAAAATAAAATAGGGGATGCAAGTTTTTATGTAAAATCGTCATTTTTGAAGCTAGAAGCTAGAAACTTATTTTTGCGGCTCTTGATTAAATATAAATACATATGACAATCATTGTTTGTAAAAAAATTACCCTTAAGGGGGTAAAATAAAATAGGGGATGCAAGTTTTTATGTAAACAGGTCATTTTTGAAGCTAGAAACTTGAATCTTATTGTTGAGACTGTTGATTAAATATAAATACATATGACATTCATTGTTTGTAAAAAAATTACCCTTAAGGGGGTAAAATAAAATAGGGGATGCAAGTTTTTATGTAAAATCGTCATTTTTGAAGCTAGAAGCTAGAAACTTATTTTTGCGGCTGTTGATTAAATATAAATACATATGACAATCATTGTTTGTAAAAAAATTACCCTTAAGGGGGTAAAATAAAATAGAGGATGCAAGTTTTTATGTAAAATCGTCATTTTTGGAGCTAGAAACTTATTTTTGAGGCTGTTGATTAAATATAAAGACATATGACATTCATTGTTTGTAAAAAAATTACCCTTAAGGGGGTAAAATAAAATAGGGGATGATAGTTATTATGTAAATTCGTAATTTTTGAAACTAGAACGATGAAACTATTTTCATTGGTTCTTTTGGGGTAGATTTTTAAATACCCCACTAATGTTATAACTGTGAAAGTAACTCTGTTTGTCTTTCTGTCAGTCTTACGCTCCAAAACAAAATAAAAATTTAAATGAAATTTGGTACACAGTTAGTTTACACCCGGACAAAGAATATAGGGTACTTTTGAATGTGAAAAAAGGATTGTAAGGGGGTTGCAATGGTACGCGGTATGGAAGAATCGTCATTTTTTAAAACTAGAAGTTTGAGACTAATTTTTAGGCTGTTGTTTAAATATCAATAAATATGACATTCAATGTTTGTAAAATTTTTACTCTTAGGGGAAGGGGGGGTAGTAAAATAAAATAGAGAATGAAAGTTATTGTGGAAATTTGCTGTTTGTGTGGTTGTGGAAGCTAGAACGGTTAAACTTTTTTCTTTGTCTTTTTAGGGTTAGTTTATTAAATACCTTACTGATATTATAAATGTGAAAGTAACTTTGTCTGTTTGTCTCGCTTACACGCCAAAAATACTGAACCGATTTAAATTGAAATTTGAAACAGACATAGATAGATTAGATCCTGAGAAAGGACATAGGTTACTTTTTAAAGTGAAAAAGGGTTGCAAGAGGATTGAAAGGGTAAATCCAAGGTTATATAGATGTATCGTCATGTTTAAAGCTAGAAGCTTGAAATTTCTTTTTTAGCCAATTGATTAAATATTTATTTTTTATTTTATCATTTTTAAGCTAAAATGATGAAACTTATTTATTTGACTTATATTGTGTTAATTGAGTTAAATATTTTTTCATTATTTACGCGGACGAAGTCGCGGGTACAGCTAGTATTGTTATAAATACATTTCAGGACAGACCATTGAACTTGGCACCCATTTAGGTCTCACCTCTTTTGTCGTAGAAGTCAACAATCAAGGCATATATCATAATATTAAACTCGGCTATCATTTCACATTTATGTTTTTGATGGGATATAAACTAACAGGAACACAGTTACTGCAAAACATATGTATACATTTGTAAAGTTAACAGTAATAAAGGCTTTTGGCTTTAGGGGGAAGGGGAGTTTAAGTAACGTGGACTAGCAATATACGAACCATTTCTGGTTTATCTTCACGTGTTCCCCCTGGAAACCATCATGATAAATTCCTAAAATTTGCCACGATGTCCAAACTGACCTCACCATAACATGCTCAAATTAGCGTCCTCCACTGGTACCACGCCATTGTAAACCATTAGCGCAGGCATGTGCATCATCCATAAAAAAAATCTCATCTACCACTAACAACACCTATCACACAAAAATCAACCACTTGAAATTGACAAATCCTTACAATTTTAATTTGAATAATATTACATGATTTAAATTATTAACCGGGTCTTAACACGAATAATTTTATGGCAAATACCTTTATTTGCCATAAAATTAAGAAGTGAATAATGTATAATAAACACGAAAGTTTAAAATTAACTAAAATTACATGGTTATTAAATTAATTTATTTTTACAGCTATCACGTCCCCGAAGTGAAGATCATATCGTTTGAACCCGTCAAACCTGGTGAGAAGTCGGCATTAATAATAAAGCTAACAAACCCAACCGGTCACGAGATGCAAGTGAGACTGTTACAGCCCGAGGACCTGCCAGAAGTGGAAGAACCAGAGGAGCCTAAGAGTATAGAGAAGTCGCTTGAAAAGTCACTCAATTTAGAAAAGGTTGGTTGGGTATTTTTTTTAAGATGAAATGGCAAGAAAGGGAGTAAATAACAACATGATTGCGAACAGGGATGAATGGAAGAGAAAAACATATTACGCCGACTACATATAAATGGGATAAGGAAAAAGCAGGTGATGATGGTTAGGTGTTTTTTATGTAAGGAAGCACTTATGGAGCGGCTGAAGGCCATCTCCCGCCTGACGGATACGACTTTAGTCTGAGGGCACCGCTAGGGGTTCGAACTTCGGCTCAGGCTGTCGTATTTTTCGATCCCCGTTTGAATTGTACGGGGGATCAACCGGAGGGGCATCTCCGTTAAGTTTTTTTTTTTGGCTATCTTTCTTTAAGTTAGGCCAAAGTATATTATTCATCAGATGGTAAGAAGCCAACGCAACTCATGAACTCTTACTTTTCCATGACAATCCAAACAGCGCCATCCAGTCTCACGCTAGACTATTTTAGTTATTTTCATAGTTTACTCTCTTATGGAATATTATTATGGGGAAAAGCGGCAGATATTAAAAATATATGTATATTACAAAAACGTGCCATTCGAACGATCTACTGTATGAAGAGAGAAATTCAAAGAAGTCGAGCTTGTGTTATGCATTCTGTGTGGTACTATGATATGTTCACTGGGATAGTCGTTAATCATAAATACGCTCCTTAATTTTTTTTAAATTAAACAAGGGCGTAATATAGCCGAGTGTGTTGTATACGCATGTATATCGCATGACGTTTTTCAACACACTTTATTTTAAACAAACTCAACCATAAAACTGTGATGCACAATTTTTCTTTCCCGTTGTTTTGATTATTTAAATCGGCGCATTGCCTACTGGCTGGCGCAGTGCGGCGGTCAGTTTGTAATTTGATAAAAAAAATAGTGCAATTATGGAATATAACTGCACTATTTGCGTTTAAAACGCACGCGTGTTTCATGTTCTGCTTTATATATCGAAACCCGGTGAAATTAGATCCACTTTACGCGCAAGAGTGTTAAAAATAATCTGTTTCAGGAGGCGTCGACGGAGATCTGTGCGAGCGCCCAGCAGCTGGCGGCGGCGTGCGCGCGCGCAGCATCCAGCCGCGTCCGGTCGCAGCGCGTCACGCTCGCACTGCCGCAGCGGGACGACGCCGCCGAGTATGACGACGACGCGCACCACCACACAGACCAGTCAATACTTTATATTACATGCATAAACCAAATATATCCTTTGGAAAGTACTCACTCTATATTGGGGGACGAATAAATACTATATTCAGTCGTAAGAGAGTTATGAACAGATAGACAGATACGGTTTCGCATTCATAATATTAATAAGTACGGTTAATAAACTGCTGATTAAATGATTTATTTGACAAAAATGTCATAACATATGCTGGTAATCACTGTATTCGCTAAATAAATAATGAAAGTACTTGAAATTGAAATTATAGATTGTAGTACCAAAATTTAATAAATACCGAAATATATAAATAGTATATAATGTAAGTGATTTAAGGAAAAGGACAGGTGGTGTTGTTCCAACAATTAATTGCCTGGTAACAAAAACAGCCAGAAAAGTCACAATTTTGTGAAGTTGAAGTGACAAAGGAGCAATGGACCACTTATGAAATGTTGAAAATTTCTACTTCCGGTAGAGATATGCTGGTGTTTTAAAATTTATCAAACAAAATAACAAACTTGAAAGATGAAAATTTCATAGTTAAAAAAATATTGAGTTTGTATACTGATCTCTCATTTTTCTTATTATTAACCTAACCTCCATTATTAACTTAACAGAAAAAATATTCAAATATCTTATAAAACACTTTTTATTGTAAAAAAGCTTATTCTAAAATTGAAAAGTTTGTAAATGACAATAATATTTTTGTAGAGAAATTCTAACTTAAAATTCATATTGCTGACAATATTATTTGATTGCACAAAGATTTGTGCAATCATGTGTTTCTATGTTGTTGATGTTTGTATTATTATGTAGGTACTTATTTACTGAAAGGAGCAAAACGCAAGTTTCTTGTTCGTTCTTCTTGTGATGAGTCTTCATTCCGTTCATTAGTGATAGAATAGCAAAATGTGACTATTCAAAAGTGCTTATATTAAGTTTATTTGAATAAAGTTTACTTCTATTTCCTTTGTTGTCTAACAGCTGGGCAAATGTCTCTTCTCCTTAGAAGTAATTTTAAGGAAAAATATATTTACATCACATTGTAACACCAATTTTAATTCCTCAGCATCATCCTGTGGCGGAAATCGAACAAGGTAGCCCTCAGGCTGGAAGTGGAGACAGAGTCGAGTGTGCCGGGTGGGGCGCCCGCCAGCGTGGCGCTCCCGCTCGAGTACTCGTACCGCAATACTGTGCCGCCCACAGCCGCGCCACCACCACGAGACCACACGCTGCACGCTGCCGTACTGCTGCACCTGGGCGTCGTCAGCGGCTAGCACTCACCACCACACTGTGTCGCTGCCGCTGCTCCTGGAAGTCGTCAGCAACTAGCACTCACGACCACACTGTGCCGCCCGCATGTCATCTAGTACAGTTTATTTGTGGTTAGTAACCACTTATAAACGGCACTTGTAACAGTGATTTAACACATAAGCACACAGTTTTATTCTATGGTCGCATGTTCGATTCCCGCATAAACAAAATATATATATACATAATAGTATCTTTGTATTGGGTTGTGTATTGTTGCACCTGGGGGTTAGTGGTTAGCACTTGACAATATCCTCAATTACTAATGAACTATATTTAACGACCTCAGTAATTTAACATGTATGCGCTCTTTTATATTCTGTGGTCACATGTCTTTGTATTGGGCTGGGTGTTTTTCTATGTATATTAGTTTGTATTTAAGTGTGATTATAAGTTGTCTAATACGATAGTACGAGCTCTACTTAGATTGTCCATAAATAATTAACAATTTTTTTGTCTACATAGAGAACTATGGCAGAGTTGCAAATTGTAATTTGTTCATAAATTGAACTGAAATTTTACTAATGGTATATGAAATAAGACCAATATTATTTAATTTTCGAATATATATAAATATAACTAAATATATACGCCACTTAGCCCCTAAGTTTACGTGAATCACTTCAGTCAGTTATCAGTATTTTCGCTCATATAATTAAAGCCTAATATATAATAAGATATTGTAATTTAACATTTTATATTTATTACTATAAGAAAACTGGCTAACATAAAACATGTATAAATAACTCTATATCGAATATTATATGTCTCGGCGCCGGAAATAGAATGTCTGATACAAGTATATTATAATAATATATTCACTATTAATCAATGCATAGTATATAATTAATAATAATTTGTAAATCTTGAATGTGTGGAATACGAAATAAAAATTTCAAAGACAACACGCAATGTCACGATTGCGCGCGCTGGCGCTCCCGCACTAAAATACGCGTGCTCCTGATCGCGCGTGAAATTACGTGTCTTGTAAAGGCAGTTATTGTAATTGCAAAACATTTGCATTCACGTGTATGATTGTTTGTATCGGTCTGGGTGTGTATATATATATTATGTTTTTCCAAAAAAAAGCGAAGTATTTATGTTTGTTGTCTACCCATAATACAAGCTCTGCTTACCGTAGGACTAGACGGCGCTGTGTTAATTGTCCAGGGTTATTTATTTATTTATTACTAGCTGTTCCCGCGTGGAATTTAACTTTATTTTTCTAAAATAAAAGTAGCCTAAGTTACTCCTTATTACATCAGCTACCTGCCAAAAAAAGTCCCGTCAAGATCGGTCCAGCCATTTCAGAGATTAGCCGGAACAAACAAACCAACAGTCAGACAAAAATTATCAAAAATGTTATTTTGGTATATGTACCGTATATATATTCATATGCATGTAGGAAAAATCGGTTATTTCAATATTACAAACAGACACTTCAATTTTATTTATATGTATACATAACGCCACACTAGTGACTCGGTCTTACAAATAGGACAGTGATGCTAACTGTAGCGGTGATAAGGACGGGGCTAGTCTGCCTCTTCCTTATCCCATTTATTTGGGGTCGTTGTAATATGTTTTCCTCTTCCATTCATCCCTGTTCGCAGTCATCTCGTTATTTACTCCCTTACTTACCAGTCTAGTCTCAGTAATCTTATAACTTATATAGTCACTGTTTTAAATTTCACGCGGTCAATATTTATATGTATAATTAGTAAAAAACACGGGATTTTTACCACGTTTTAATTTTATTGAATTTACAGAATTTAACATCAGTTTACCCGTGATCATGGCGGTTGAAACACCGAAATATCGGGAACTCAATAAAAATAAAACGTGGTGAGATATCGTGATTTTTACTAATTATACGTTATATAGTCACATTGTTCTGTATGTTAAGGTAAAATGTACTATAAAAGTGTGCCTAACTGACACTGTTGACTGACACGTTGTGAAATTACGTATGAAATGATAAGTAAGATATGAGTATCCTAACGCAGGTTCTAAACAACTCAATAATTTAAATTTATATTTATTTAAGATATACTGTCTGTGCGCGAGGTTTCAACCACGTTAAATTTCTATATATAAATTTCAATAAAAAATATAGCCTATATGTTATTCTAATGCCTAAGCTATATTACTGGAAAGTTTCATTAAAATCCGTTTAGTAGTTTTTGTATAAATATTCATACTTACAAACTGTCGCGTTTGTAATATTATTAAGATATACAAGTAATAAAGTACTCTATGATCAACCTATTAGGTATGTTTTAGAATTATTATATATAGCACCATTGAATGAGGATATAAGGATGAAATTAGGTTACATTCAAAGCGACTGTGACAATGACTTCAACTTCTAATTTCTTTTCCACTGGTGCATTGCACTTCCTTCTAAATGGAGCAAGGAGGGATCTGTTACTGACGGCCACATATATAGCTATTTTTATAGCCCAGTTACCATGCAGGCCCAGCTCTGGAAATCAAGTTCGTTTCTAATGAATTTGCTATAATAGGCTAACTGGCTTTATGTTCGTCCTACACTGGTGCCCAGCAAATATTTACCGTTAGTGCAGGCAGAAGCAACCTTTATATGTAGAATAATCTATAAAAAAAATTGAAATGTTTAATGGCTAGATGCCTATTGCAGTGACTTGGAACTTGTGTCAGTATACAGAGGTTTCATTTTCCTTTAACTCGCTTCTATTTATTTTTATAGCTTTTATTTAGATGTAAGAAAAATAAGTAGGATAGTTATATGAACTTCTCAACGTAAGTGTCAATGGACTTTGTATTTTTTGTACTATACGCCAAATGGCATTATAAGATGTTATTTTTTTTATAGAATAAAGTATAAATATATATTTCTTAAATGGCAACACAACAGACATTATACAATATACTGCTATAACTATCTATCGTTAATCAGTAATTTTATTGCCATAAAACATAGTTAAAACTGGCTTAAGTCTGCTTTTTAATTATAATATTTTATTAGGTAATAACAAAACTATAAATAAGTTTAATATATTATAAGTACATATTAAATAAAATTGTATAGAAATATTTAAATATCAGTTGTCTAGTACCCATAATACAAGATCTGCTTAGCTTGGCACTAGATAGCGCTGTGGGAATTGCCCGAAATATTTGGCAACTAAATTATTATTAATCTTGCAGTGCTTGTTCTTCTTAAAGAACTATTATGTTTATTGCCTAACATCGTAAGTGTGTTATGTACTTAATATATAATAATTAATAATAAATTAATAATTGAACTAAGCAACAATAGTTCAAGAGACACTGTTGTAAATAGTAACAGAATGATATTACAACAAGATACTACACAAAACAGTTTATCAGTTTTGAAAGTATAGATATATATATTTTAGAGAAAAACATATATATTGTATATAAAATTATAAGCTGTTTTATATAAAAATATGCTTACAATATATAAACGCTACACAAATATTATATAACTTGCACATTTTTTAAATAGCTAACAGCGTTAATGATATCGCAAAGCATTAAATAAATTTATTTAAAAGCTTACCATCGTTTTGATTATACATTCAACCCAAACTTATTAGCTCCATCAATTGCGATCACTATACACACAAAATAGAAACGAACTTCTTAGCATTCCATGGAATTATCGTGCACGAGTTTCCAGGATTTGAGACTTGGAAGTAGGTTTAAAAGGCCCCTTGCCGACATATGACAACACTCACCTTCATCGCTGGTGTTTCTTTCCCTGGTCAGCCAAATTTAGTAGAAGCTAGTGCAACTTTAGATACACACTAATATAGAACTTATTGCAATTCCTGACAGACTAAGATCTTTTAGAAGAAATATAATTGTTTTATATTCATTAATAAAAATTATAAATATATAATAAAACAGCTATCATCTTCACCATGCTATAATGTATGGAATATTATTGAATAGCTTTACCAAACTGAACAATTTTATCTTTTTTTTATATAATATACTAAGTATATGACTCAATCAATTCTATTCTATTACCAATAATACCCACACCTCTCTCCCGTTTAAAAGTTACGACAGCGTTTACCAGTTCGCCGGTTAAATATATTCAAATATCTTAGATACCAAACAGTTAATTCTATACTCCTAAAATACTTACAAATATTCTGAAAGTACAGTATATAATAAAAATATTTTATAAACAAAAGTAATAAATATTTATTATTATCAATTATTAAATTACTCAATTCTTTGTGGCATAAGTGCATGTTAAATAGATTTAATCAAATATAACATTTAAAACAAATAACCATTGTTCTAACTTGACAATATCACATTTTAATATTTTAAATTTACTATGATTTTAAAGCTATTTTAATTGGGAAATTTTCTTTGAAACATTTCTGATCACATTTGTTATGTGCAGTCTTCTTCAACTTGTTTTTTTGCAGAGTATATAACATCATTGATACCAACACCATCATAACTGCTACCAACTAAAGAAATTGGCAAGTTATTATCATGTATATACTGCCTAATCTTGCCAACTCTCTCGTAATGCCCTATCACATATTGGGGAATGCATTTTTCCAAAATATTAACATTATATACAGACGGTTTCTCTTTTATATTCAGAATTTTGTTAATTTCTTGTACGGCTACATCCAAGAGTTTTTTTTCTGTGACATTGTCACCAAATTTCTCTTTGAACCACCTCCCTCCTAGCATGACAGTCAACACTGTACCATTCTGATGTGGGGTACAGCAAGAGTCAAAGACCACACCTAATATTGGTGAATTTTCTATAGGTGGCACTAGAAACCCAAATGCAGGTGCTACAAGTTCTTTGTCAGTAGCGAAATATAGATTAACTATACCAACAGTTACAAATGGGATATCATTTAGGTATTGCGATAACTCTGGATGCTGTTTCTGAACAAGCTTGGCAAGGGAATAGGCAGGTATAGATGAGTAAACATGATTTACCTTCAATTTCTCACCGTTACTGTTCTTTAACAAAACAGTGCTGGAATCCATAAACTCTAGGTCTTCAATTCGTGTATTCAAGTTCACATCAACCTCACTCTGTTTGAGGAATTCACAGAGGGTCACCGGGAATGTCTCGAGGCCTCCTTTTATAGTATAGACATTCCATTTCTCCTCCTGCGCCTTTTTTGCCAAATTACTTAATTCTAACTCTTCACCAGATTTCGATTTAAATATTGACTTCATCATTCCCTTGACAACTCCACCATGGTTCTGCTCCCACTCAAACAAGGTTTTCATGAGGAATTTTACTGATATTTCTTTAGCATCACCAGCACAGATGCCACATATCATCGGTGAGATCGCATAGTCGGCTATTTCCTTACCGAATCTCCTTTCCACGAAATTGTATATGGAGTCGTCCTGTAATTGTTTATATGGTTGTGTTATATCATTGAATAGAGCATATATTAGTGGTTTTGAAAACGGCAAATTCTTTTGGAAGACTCCCTTCAAACTCGAAGGTAAGGTATGTAAATGTTGATTCACATAAATCATCCGATTTTTAGCGGCCGGGTGGTCTGCGCTGACAGGAGATAGGTGCTCACTGAGACCTAAATCTTCCATCATATTTAATGTATTCAAACCGGTAATACCTTTAGGTCTTATAGTACGTGGTCCTTGTTCGAATATATAGTCTTTCGTTTTAATAGACTTGATCCAACCACCACAATAGTTTGTTGCTTCTAGTAAGAACAGTCGCAGGTTATTGTTGTTGCTAACATTGTTTTTTAATAAATAATATGCAGTGGACAATCCACCTAGACCCCCTCCTAGAATAGCTGCCATTATTAATTAATAATTGTTTTATTATCAATCTAATATCCATAAAAACATTTAAATAAATAATGGTGTTAATATTTTTCCCACTTTTCTATTGCAATAGGAAATGACAACAGTTCAAAATAGTTCAAATGTCAAAATGACAATTTGTTTTTGTGCCGATGACAGAAAACTTAAATAAAAGGCAAAGAGCAAACGTTAATAATGCCATATACTTTCAATAAGTTCAAAAGAAGCAAATACCATAATAATTGTTTTATAATTTTGAATAGGTCATTTCAACAGATCAGAACCTCTATTATAAAACTTAAGGTTACTCCGACCTTCGGTGTAGACAGAAAAATCACTTGCTCACATTCTGCAATACTGCGTAGGTAGATATATGAAAATATTAGGTATAGTTATTCTTCGTAATGATAATAATAAATTTATTGTAATTATAATCGTCCTGTGGATTATTAAAAAACTGGATTACTAATAAACCTGCCCTGTTAGAATAAAATTAAACTGTTCCTATAGCAAATAGAATTGTAAATAAAAATTATCATTATCTAAAAAATATTTTAGTAAAATATTCCGTAATAACAAAAAATGACTTATATCTATAAAATTCTCTTGTCACAATATCAGTTAACATACTCCTCCGAAACAGTTTAACCGATTTTTATAAAAATTATTATGCATATCCAATAGGTCTGATACTGATTGATAGATGATCTGCTATCTATTTTTCATACCGCTAAGTGATAAGGGTTGTCCACCCCTAACATTTTTTTTGGGACAATTTATATTTTATTTTTGTATGTTGTGCCATTAAAAATATATAAAAAATTAGGGTTGTACCCTAAATTTTACCCTTTTAACACCAACCTCTATTTCTTAATAGGGATTTTAATTTATAAGGCAAAACAACTTTTGCGGGGTCAGCTAATATATATATAAAATTATATACGAATAAAACAAGATAATAATAATAATGTCTCAGGACAATTGACACAGCGCCATCTAGTTCCAAGCTAAGCAGAGCTTGTGTTATGGGTACTAGACAACTGATATAAATACATGTATATATATATTATACATAGAAAACACCCAGACCGATACAAACAATCATACTCATGAATACAAATGTTTATACCGTGCGAGGAATCGAACCCACGACCATCGGATAGTAAAGCGGTGTGCTAAACCACTAGACCACCGAGGCTGTCAAAATATAAAAGATAATCGTAATTTTGCACAATAAAGATTGCAAGCGAAGACAGCCAATAAATAATGGTCGCTAACTCACCACTCGCGGAGCGTCGAGCCGTAAATGCGGGACCCAGTTGCGTTGTCGCCTGCTGATAATGAATTTCAATTTCATACCTATTGCACATTTCATCGCCATTTACTCACATCCTATTTAGGAGTTGAAGGACTCCAATCCTTAGGAACATTCCTAGAGTGGGTACATTTATATAGTTTACAGACAAAATTAAAATTTACTCGTTAATTCAGTCTAGCGGCTCGTAACTATATTATTATAACCTTTAACTTATAAAATGATATACCTATTTAGTTGTCACTTTTTTAACACTTGTTTAATCAAAAACACATTTTTTATAGTATACTAAATGTATAACTTTATATATTATAACTTTGTTTTTATAAAATAAATGATTTTTTAAATAAAAGTAGCCTAAGTTACTCCTTATTACATCAAGTACCTGCCAATAAAAGTCCCGTCAAAATCGGTCTAGTCATTTCAGAGATTAGCCGGAATAAACAGACAGACAGACAGACAAAAATTGTAAAAAATGTTATTTTGGTATAGATACCGTATTTATAATAATATGCAAGTAGTAAAAAACGGTTATTTCAATATTACAAACAGACACTACAATTTTATTTACATATATGTAATAATCATGGTCATTGAGCAAAAATCTTACACATGGCCTCTCAGTAGATAATCAGAATAAAATGGGGGATTCCATTTTATTCTGTCAGATAATCTACTGATCGAATTGAATCTACTTTCGCTGTCTGTTTGCTTCCGTTACTGTCTGGTCTTTAAAACTACGCAATGGAATTTAATGCAGTTTTTACCAATAGATAGTGATTCAAGAGGAAGGTTTATATTTGCACTAGCTGAACCGGCAAACGTTTTTTGCAAAATTTTTAGCAACATTTAGAAAAATAGATGTTGGCCGATTCTCAGACCTACTCAATACGCTCATAAAATTTCATGAGAATCGGTCAAGCCGTTTCGGAGGAGTATGGGAAGGAAAACTGTAACACGAGAATTTTATATATAAGACTATATGTAAAACCGCGCGAAGCCGGGGCGGGCCGTTAGTTTATAGTCAATCAAGGAAGAACATTTGTGTTAGAAAGTTTTAGATAAAATAATCAGAGATAGGTTTGTCAATAAATTTCATTCTTTCTTTTTTTTTTAATGTTACCATGCTTATAATTCCCTGCGTATATTTGAATCCAACGTAAAAGAGGAAGTCTACAGCCATCTCTCAGATTAGTTTTAATTTGTTATCGATGTTTCCTTCACAGGCGAACATACAGAACAGTCCGAAATATAAAAAAAAAACAAAGTTTTCTTGTGTTTCCAGATTTGAACTCACAACCTTTTGCGTTTAAGACGGGATAGTACATCACTAAGCTCTTAAATAGAATAGAATAGAAAATCATTTATTCAAATAAATTTAATTTAACCACTTTTGAATAGTCAAAATTTTTTTTAAATCTACCGCTTATTCGGAAAACTATCTCATCACAAGAACAATAAGCAAGAAACTGGTGTGTTGCTCTTTTAAACGATCCTTGTAAGTTCTCATTTTACAAGTCGAAACGTGTGAATACAAACTACCAACCAGCACTAATTTATTTAGGCTCAAATATAAAAACACAATAAGATTAAATCAGTCGGAGTGATAAGAGCAGACCAGTCCCTACAAGCGGTACTCGTTCACGAGTATGAGGGATGAGTCAGCCATCACTGCGCTCGACCATATTTTAGGGAGCCCAATGACCTAGTACCTAGGTTGCGTACCTAAAATATAGGTACATCTACTAACTTTGCCTGCATTTTCACCCGCGTTAAATTTCAATAAAAACTATAGCCTATGTTACTGTTGCATAAACTATATTACTGTAAAGTTTCATCAAAATCCGTTCTGTAGTTTTTGCGTGAAAGAGTAACAAACATCCATACTCACAAACTTTCGCGTTTATAATATTAATAAGAATAAGAATTAAGATGTATGTATTCAAGAAACTAGTGGCTATACATTTATAGCCACTAGTTTCTTATTATAAATCAAATCAGGTATAGTTGGGCATTTTTTAACTCTATATCCAGTAGTAAATAGATTACAGGGAGTATATAAACCCCAACAAATACAACACCCTTTTCAATCGGTCTGCGGATTGCGCACTGCATCTTAACCACATAATGAACCAGTCGAAGCAGAAAACGTGCGAAAAAAAGCTGAAAATCGCCGAACAGAGAGTCATAAAAATTATCAATAAAATTGAATCGTTAAAACTAAATAGCTCATACATTTCCCAATTAGACTTTCATGGAAAAGTAAGTGGGTATAAATTTAAAATTGGGGAAACCAAGTGCCATATTGTGTTTTCCGTTGCAGTTGTGATAATTTCATTATTAATAGCGAGGTGGTTGTATGGAGAGATTACGACAAAGGTAAGTTTTCATGTAACATGTACATAACATATACCTCAATAATTAGCTTTTCATGGAAAAGTAAATAGGTACAAATTTAAAATTGGGGAAACCAAGTGCCATATTGTGTTTTCCGTTGCAGTTGTGATAATTTCATTATTAATAGCGAGGTGGTTGTATGGAGAGATTACGACAAAGGTAAGTTTTCATGTAACACGTGCATAACATATACCTCAATCAGTTTTGTAAATTAGTGGAGTGGAAAATAAGCTGACGAGGTACCTACCTGATAGAAAATGACAAATGTATATCTTTACATAGTATAAAATCAAGTCGCTTCCGCCATCTGTCTCTTAGATCTTTTAAATTGAACGGATTTTAACGCAGTTTAAAGCAATAGAGTGATTTCATACGAATGTTTACGTATATAATACATGTACACCCGTGCGAAGCCGAGGCGGGTAGGCAGTAGGTATATGGTATTAAGTATATTTTTTTATAGATGATAATGGAATGGTACACCAGCCTGCGCTAACGGTTTGCGTTTACGGGGCACCAGTGGAGGACGATAAGATGAGCATGAAGTCGTACCAAATTCACCAGGAGATAAGTTCCTGGTGAATTTGCTACAACCATGTTATAATTTTCCATTGATACCCCGAAAGCGTAAACCGTTAGCGTAGGCACCATTCCATTATCGTGCACAAAAAGATGTAGTTTTTCTTCATGTACCTAATCCTTGTTGTAGGCACATATAAAGAAACTATGATATCTTTCAGAGTCCACTCTTGTCAAATTTTTATATAACCATCTTTTTATTTTACAGTGTTACAAGTGCAATATACTTTATATTTATAATTACTGATTATACTATAGAGTTGCCTACTGGAGCTACCTTACAACTCCAAATCACTGTTCCGGCCACCGGAAGACTGTTCTATGTGCATTGGTGTGGACCACGTGGTGCGTGTTTCAAACATCACCGCGCAAGAATTCGAGGAGTTGTACGCGTATGGAGCCACGCCCGTTATTGTCACAGATGCTACAGGAAACTGGAAGGCTATTGAAGTAATTTCTAGAATATTTTTAATTATATTTACATAGATAAATTCATTATTCATCAATTACAAACACATAGTAGACATGCTTATAGTAAAAAATATACAAATAAAAGCAATGGAAGTGACTTTAATGACAATAATCTCAGTACAATTCACATACCGCCATCTAGACCCAAGTAAAGCTAGCTAAAGCTTGTTTTATAGGTACTAGATAACTGATACAAATACATAGATAGTTTTTTTCGTAAACACATACATATTATACACAAAAAATACCCAGACCGATACAAACAATCACACTCATGAATACAAATGTTTGTCTCCTGCCTGACGGATACGACTTTAGGCTGACTACGAACGAGTCGAACACCACTAGGGGTTCGAACCTCGGCTCAGACCGTCGTAATATAGATCCCAGTTTGAATTGGACGGGGGATCGATCGGAGGGGTGATAAATCTGCTGATATTTTGTTGGCTCCTATACATATATGTATTAAACATAAATATATATATATATATATTAAATATAAGAATATAACCCATAAATATGTATTAAAAACACAATAGATCGTGGCATAAAGGAGGGGGGGGGGCTGCTCTATGCCACGATCTATTATGTACTATGATCAAATAACCTTACCAACACTCTCAAAATGTTTTTTTTAAATAGATACAGTTCCATCCGCGATGTATCATGTGCTATCATCAGATTTACCAATTTTTTTAGGATTTCACATTCCAATTCTTCGCGAATTTCTACCGGGTGGGCAAAATGGGCAAGCAAATAAACGACTGCTTCTATTTCGCCTACAAATCTGGACTAAATTCCTTGCAAGACGTGTTCGACATGGAAGAGAGTAGAGCGAACCTGTCTGGAGACCCGTGGTATGTTGGCTGGAGCACGTGTTACGATGAGGAGACCAGACAACTGAGGACCTTCTACAATCGACCATATTTCCTTCCAACGACAGCAGAGAGCGATATGGTCGACTGGGTGTTCATGGGCGGACCGGGGCAAGGCGCTCATATGCATGTAAGCATATTTTTGTACCAATATATTTATTGTAGATATATAATAATAATAATAATAATCTTTATTTGTCTCAATGTCTCATTATATGTATTTCATAGAATGCACTATTTAATCCGACTCGTTAGGACCAAAATGTTTTCTGGAGGAATATTGCAGTGGTTGATTTGTTTTAAATTGAAATAAAAAGAATATTTAGTATATATTGTACACATATTTTTTTAATGACGCCTCGGGATGTTGAAGAAGGAGTTCAAAATTGTATATAAAAATAACATCGATGTCTGACGATCTAAATATTAAATTTTAAAATTTTATTTTTAAATAAAGTAATTGGCTATTTGGGATCGCAAACAATTTTTAACCAACTTCGTCTGCATCACACCTATTTGATATTTATCATATTTCGTTCAATTTACATTATATCTTTTTAAATTATAGTCTATGTGATTCTGATGTATAAGCTATATTACTGGAAACTTTTATCAAAATCAGTTTTTCGTGAAAGAATAACAAACATCCATCCATATACAACATTATGTAATATTATAAAGATAAAAGGTTTTTTCATATCACAAGTTTTTCTCCTGTGTAGTGATTCTCCACACTGAGCTATGTACCAATTTTGTATTGCTGTAGCACACACGCAATGGGAGCTGGTTTACCGCCCGAATTGTCTCTACCATTGCAAATGGATTTATAATTAACCGTGGCGTATATGTGTGAGAGATAAGATACAAATATATATAACATTGAAGATCTATCTATCTAAACTTTTGCGTTTATGTAATATTATAAAGATATACGGTTTTCTCATATCACAAGTTCTTTGTAAAAATGTGTAGGTGGACTCCGCTTGTACACGTGTGGGCATGTGGCAGTTCCGTTTTCTTATACTAATTAAATCTATATTTTATAAGACCAATCTTTGATTCATTTAATGTTAGACATAGACGCCTATATAAAAATACATTGTAAATAAAATGGCCTATAAAAAAAAGGTAATTCATTTGAGTTTCTTGCCAGTTCTTCTCAATTGGATCTATATACCGAACTGGACGGTAGGGCAAAAATAAAATTATAATGTAAAAATTTGACGTTCATAAGCGGCTAAAATGTCCTACATGAATAAATAATGATTTTTGAATTTTGAATTTTGAGATATTTTTCTCTGCTACAAAAGTTATTAAATAATGTAATGACAGTGTATATGATGTCAAATATGTGAAAAATTAAATATCTAAATATCAGCCCCGAAGGATTGGTAATTGCTGAGAAAAACTAAGATTTCTAACGTCAATATTTGCGATGATTCATCTTAAATTTCAATTTGTGTACCTACTGTACATAATTATTCGCCGGTCATTCGCTGGTCCCTCGAAGAGATACTGCATAGTTATAGGATATATCGGACTTAGTTCATTTGACATAGCCTCAGTTAGAAATAAAAAAAATGCTGGTCCCTATATGAGAAATAAGATTTTTCAACGCGCTCTTCAACGTGTTAAAATAGTTTTTATTAATGGATGATTATGGTATGGTACACCCGCTAACGGTTTACGCTGGCCAGGCACCAGTGGAGGATGATATGAAAATAAGGTCAGCTCAGTTAGCACATGGTGACAAATTCACTAGTAATTTATCACGATGGTTTCCAGGGGGAACCTCGTGGAGGTCAACCTGACTTAGTACATTGCTAGCGATGGAGTAATTAAAGTTCAGATTACCAGCAATTAAAACAATTTCTTAGCCCTGGACAATTCACACAGGTTTGTCAAGGCTCAGGCAGCTTATGTTAGGGACACTAGATAACTCATAGAAACACATAAAAAAATTGTACACATATGCATAATATATCTACAAAATACTCATACCAATACAAACAATCCTATTCATGAATACAAATATTTTAATTGTGAAAGGAATCGAACCCGCAACCGCCTTAAGGTGGTGTACTAAACCGCTAGACCACGGATGCTGTCAAAGCGTATTAGTTAGTTATTCGGGGGGGATTGTTAGTAATGAGGATTAACCCCTTTGTTAGAAATGTAGTATGTCTACATTGACATGTTTTCACATGTTTCAAACATGTGAATTTATTATGTATGTGTATGTATTCATTGCTAGCAATGGAGTTAATAGACCACTTTACTTACAATCCCCTGGGCCCGTGAAGCCAGTATCATTCAGTTTGCAGTAGAGGACCCGGTTGCAGATTCACTGCTAGCAATGGGGTTTGTGTGGGACTGTGTATAGGGCGCTGGGGTCGGTGCAGCCAACGATGGTGGTAATTAAAGATGCAATATGTAAAAGGATAGTATATTATAAAAATATATGTCGTAACAAACTATATGAAAGCGAGAGCAATACAAGGAATAGTAAAAAGGAATGAATAACAAAACCATAGCAACCGATATAAAATATAAATATTTAAAAATAAGGAACAGTCGTACCAGCCAGCGGCCCGAGTGTAAGGAGTCCTGTACAGGGTTAATATTACATATTATCTGTGACTGTTGACATAGATAATGTTATATAATCACAGATAATATTACGTAGCATTATGTTGTTTGCAGTGGTGGTCGACACGAACAGGTGGTACCATAAGACCAACGTGTTACCTGGCGACATCAGCATCACCATCGGAGCAGAGTACGACTGAACTGCAGCCTCCGAAGCCTTGAACACCATGCAATTGCACCAATGCAATTTATTCGTCATCGTACCTTATTTTAGTATTTTTAACGCCCATTATTCAACTATTATTATAAGATAGTTCCAGTATATCCTTTGCTTTGTAAAATTTTATACACATTTCCATAAGACTTTCTAAACGATGCTTAGGAACAGCCAGTTTGTGTTTAAATCTAGTATTAATTTTAGGAATATAACTGTTTTATTTTTAATAAAGATTCTTGCGTACTTAAAGAATATTTGCATATATTGACAAGAAACGGTGAGAATATTTGCCTCTTTGAATTTCTCTCTTAATGAGTCACTACTCATTATACATTGCTAAAATGGTACGTTTTTCTAATATGAATTTATTTTAATATCGGCTTCTGTTCCCCATAATATTTCATAAGACAATAGACTACGAAAATAACTAAAATAGACTAATCTAACAGTAACAGTAACAATATAATGAAACCTTATGCACGGCATACGCTGCTGAACACAGTTTTGCTGCAAGCCTCTGAATTTGTGATTTCAAGAAAAACAGTAGATTCTATAAATCGCGAGATTCGTTGTTTAATTTTACGTTGGAAATAACACATTTTGTTTTCTTTGCGTTTAAACATAAGGTTGTTAGTCGTAAACCAGTGCAATAGACGCCGCTAAGCCCCACTTACATAGTCATAATTATTAGTAATTCTATCAACCTTAAAAATCAATGAGTATCATCTGTCTTAGTGTAAACGTTGAATAAAATAAAACAAAGGTATGCTACGAGAACAATATTTATTTGTTACCACTAAACACCGAGTAACACTACGACACGCATGCAGAACAAGACGCTCCGAATAAATACGCTATAGGACAAATATTGGAATGACCATGTTCATCCTTCGATTAGTAAAAGAGAGCCTCTGGTATTGAATTTTAAATTATTTAAGTACACTTCGAAGTCGGGTAACAATATTAATAAAAGTATTCGTTCCACATATTTTATTACTTAGAAAACAAATATTAATTTCAGACAAATTTTCCTTCAACACAAATAATATATAACACAATCAAATTCATCTATAGACAATATGATTAATTTAAAACTTATTACAATACATCTGGATTGTCTATAGTACTTGCTAAGAATTAACGATCGAAATAAATCGAAATTAACAATTTAGCGATTATACATGCTATTTGACGCTATCGATTGCTAACCGTTCAACTCGGTATGTAATTTCAACTGTCAAATAGTTTATATATAATTGCAAAAATGTCAGTGTTTGTTTCGATTGAAAATTGTCAGAAATTACTTTACATAAACCAGTAGTTCAACCATAATAGTTAAGGTTTAAATTTTGAATGATTATTTGTGTTGTGTTCTCTAAAATTGTGTTTGGTAGATGACATTGTTAACAGGTTTACGATTGTTAGATTATAGATTTAAAGAGCAAGACAGATATATGTTGTACGGTTGCTTTGTCTCTCTCTAGAGAATGCTCAATTTTATAAGTATATTTATAGAACACAGCTTACGTTACAATGGAAATTTCATTTACAGCTTAAAGCTTATAGGAGTCATATGTTAAACTTAGACAATAAATAGTGTTAGTTGAAGGAAAATCCGCTTGAAAATTCCAATAAAAAAAATCTACTAATTTCCAATAACAAAATACAAAAATTAAACTCTGGTTTGGCAAAGAATATTCACTTACATTTTTATATTAAATTGAAATAGCTATGAGTACGTTTGTCTTACTTTCATATAATCATTGGAACCATAGACTACAGATGAGGCAGAACTAATTTCTATGTTTAAATATTTTTAAAAGTATGTAGTTCTGAAATTACTTCTACGGCAAGAAACCACTCGACGGCAGCATTTATATACCTAATACGTAGATTAAATATAGGATTACAACGCACAGCTACGTATATTAAATAAATTAAATAGAAATGTACTGCGCATTATGAGTTTCTTTCTCAGGGATGAGCAACATGCGGCCCGCGGGTCGATTGCGATCCGTTAAACAAGTTCACGCCAAGCATTTATAAAATTGAATTTATTTTATCGACTTCCTCCAATATATTGTTATAAAGTTAATTATAATAAAATAGTGGTACATACTAACACCGAAACATTTTTTTCTGGCGAGTTCATCTTTTGCATTAAAATTTGTAAATGATTATACTTTTTTAAACTTTAATTTATTTATTCTAATGTTTATTATAAAGAAAGTTTTGTAAATTATTAATAAGTTACTTTATGTGCGGCCCGCCAAAAATTTTAAATATATATTAGCTAATTGTTGAAAAAGATTGCTCACCCCTGCTTTACGTTATTATGTATATTAATAAGTTAATTACAGTTTTAGAAGTTTTATAAGTATCTAAGGATTTTCATATACTGTCATATATATATGAACATATAAACATTGAGTACAGAGTAAAAATACGAGTGTTTTCATTGGGAATGGAAACAATTACGGCTATACATTAATAAATTAGGAAATCACAATTGTCAATAAATTATTTTTAATTCAATTATATTATATTAATTATAAATATATTTGCACACTTACCAAGACTGTGTATTTTAAGTGTTTTAATATCATTTAAACACCAATTGTGTACATATTTCACAAATTATTATTATAATAGAATTACATTGAATTCATCTATATGCGTAAATTGTTTTACAACAATACTATAACAAATGTATGATCATATATATTTGACAGTGTAATAGGTACCATAGTGAATGTAATGTGATGTAAGAAATACAATAGATCTGCCGTTACAAATGTTTATGGTTTGCTATATAATACGGTGTGTAGTGTGAGCGAGAGGGCTTTACTCCTCTCCCTGTCCCGCCGAGTCGAGTATCACCTCGAACGAAAACGGCTGGAAGAGATAACCTTCGCCCGCGTAGAATTTACTCTGGAACTCCACCCTGAGATACAAGAAAAACATTTTTGTTTCACATTAAACATTTCTTTTATTTAATTACTTAAAATTAATTAACTTTGAAAGGTTCTTAGATGCCTTTATACGTACGTTCTTTCACGGGGGAAAAAATGTGTATTAAAATGTAGACAAAGAGAACGAGAGAGACCGTGCGCAAACAGTGAGCGTATTCCCGCGTCCTTTAAATCATGTTTTATCGCCTTTTTGTAATTATTAATTATCATTGCTAAATTGAGGAAATTATAGAGTAAAGACAGAATATATAGTTATTTATATTTTATAAACCTTAAATTTCTAAGCAAATTTAATTAAAAATAATATCTCATCATCTGCTTCTTCCTTATCCCATTTATTTGCGGTCGTCGTAATATGTTTTTCTCTTCCATTCATCTCTGTTCGCAGTCATCTCGTTATTTATTCCCTTTCTCACCATATCATCTTTCACACAGTCCATCCATCTCTTTTTCGGTCTTCCTCTACACTTATAAAAATAGTACTTACTACGTACTTAGGAAAATAATATCTGTGGAACAAAATAAATTACAAAAGAAAGTGTAATGACTTGAACATAAACGCGCGAAAGAGTGACCACAAAAAATAGAATGCAATCCTTTACGAATGCGCGCGCTGGCTTTCCGCGCTCCTGTAGAGCTATTCTGTAAGTATCACTCACAAATTCGAAAGCGAAATCCGCTGTGGGATTGTACGTTGGTATTCTGTAAACCTCGATAGCGACTGCAGCGCCACACGCTCGAGAGCGGGATGGAGGTAAAACAGGCACTAGTGATTTAGAAATATAGGTAAACTCGATAGCTCAGTAGGAACTTTATATTTGACAATTGATACGTGTGCCTTAAGTGAAGCGATGAGTGAAATGATTTGATAAAACACTTACAGATTACCAGTGCTGATCAGGAAGTTCTCGATTTGTCCGTTCACATAACGTGTTTTAAAGAAATATTGGTGACCTTAATTTAACATTAATCCGAATAAGGTTTGTATTGACCTCACCTTCGAGTACTACACACTGATAATCAAATTATTGTGTTCTTATTATTATTATTATTATCTGACTACTTAACCCAGTTAGATCCCATGCTATATAACCCCAACAATAACCAATACAAAAGGCGTGTAAAGGCAGCTATTCCATTATTATCCATAGAAAACATACCAGTGCAAACGTAGCGTGTGCAAGAAGGCCGAGAGCCCCTCCATGAGTACGAGGATGGAGACGGAAATGGCCGCCCAGCCCGCGAACACCACGTACAGGAAGATGCCACCTTCGAAGTCACGTGACATCAGGCCTGCAACAACCGCACACGAGTTTACTATACTAGAAATATCCTGTATAATTTTTGTAACTGGCTACTCGGAATTGTATTTATTAATCAAAAATTTGTATTTACATTATAGTTCTTTTTTATAGTATATACTTCATATATTTCTGTCTTTATCAAGTTTCCTAATATATATCTCCGTATTCCAAGTTTTTTCTACAGTTTTTCTTTTACCTATACACATATAAAATAAAATTACAACAATAATAACAACTTGCAATCCAATCACCACTCAATTATTCAGATTGGATTAGATTGGTCAGGCATCAAAATTGAATCAACCTGTATAATGCTGTTATTCAGATTGATTCAGTGGGACCTAAAGCGGTGTGCGAAACCGTTAGACCACCGAGGTCGTTAAATCATTACAATATTTATATTACATTACCTTTTCTCAGCAACATGTTCCAAGCGACTTCTGCGAGCTGCGCGTGCGCAAGAGACAAAGCCCAGAGTCGCAGGTACGACGCCGTGTGCGAGATACTGCCCAGCACGTACTCAATTGTGTGGATCGCCTGTACACATCATTACATAGTATAAAACAAAGTCGCTGTCACTGTGTCACTCAGTCAAACTACGCAGTCAGTAAAACTACGCAGCGGATTTTGATGCGGTTTTTCTTAATAGATAGAGTGATTCAAGAGAAAATTTTATATTATATATAACATATCTATACCCGTGCAAAGCCGGGACGAGTAGCTATAATATAATATACTGTCAGGATTCACATCGATATTGGTGAAAAATGAGACAGTGTATTTTGCCTTCAGGACAGTTTTAGACTTAGAATAACATAATTTATTACAATAATATTAATTTAACATTCAGTAAGACTAGACATATAATAATAAAGATAATGTTAATCTAAATTGAAGTTGACCATAGACCAACTGGACAACTCCTTAGCAATGGAGTAATTGGTTCACATTACTAACCTTTAATTATATATTATGATATATTATATTAAAAATTATACTAACCCTATCCCTTACACTATTCTATTATCATCCACAAGACTGTTGTAATGTGTGTTAATGTTGTTTGTTTTTGTCGTTATTGTTGTGTATGAGTCAATAAAGTTTATTGTACGACGTTACCTGGTGTATGAAGACCTCGGTGATGTCTTCATCGTGATGATGTGCAGGAGCCACGGCGGCTGCTCCTCCGGCCGCTCCGTTCTCGGCTGTGCCCTCGATCGTCTGGTGACCCTGTCGCTGACACAGACGAACAAACATCACGATCATTGCACATATTTATTTATTTATTTAAACTTTCAAATAGTGTTTGTGATTTAATAAGGCCTATATGGATTGGCCTATTACATATTGACGACTTCGGTGGTCTAGCAGTCTAGCACACCGCTTTACGACCGATGGTCGCGTATTCGATTCCTCGCACGGCACAAACATTTGTATTCATGAGTATGATTGTTTGCATCGGTCTGGGTGTTTTCTATGTATAATATATACATAGAAAACACCCAAACCGATAGATAGTTTTTTTTTTGTAAATACGTACGTATTTAAAAAAAAAAACTATGTATATGTATCAGTTACAGTTGTCTAGTACCCATAACACAAGCTAGCTTAAGTTGGGTCTATATGGCGCTGTGTGAATTGTCCTGAGATTATATTTATTCTCTATAAATAAATATGTAACAATCTCACTGCCCTATATATATAGGAGTGAAAATATAATTTTTATTTAAGAGATAACAACTACTAATACAATCAATCATACTCAAGAATACAAATGTCTGTACCGTGCGAGGATTCGAACCTGCGACCAATGGGAGTAAAGCTGTATGCTAAACAGCTAGACTATAAGACCGTCAAATTTATCGGCTATGTACAAACTACTTTAGTAAATAAATAAATATATCAAGAAACTTTTTAATTAAAACAGGTCTTACCGCCATCTTTTCAATATGCATGAAACGTAAAGAGCATAAATGAGTTCAATAACCACAAAGGTTTACATATCGTTCACCTAGTATTATACAGTTTTAATATAAAAAAAAATACAGAAATCACTCAACAGATGAAAATTTTTGAAATTAGACTTTATTGCGAAACTGTAGAGTGGATTTTCAAAAGTTTGTAATTTTTGTTACTCCATTATGGTAGGTGTGTGATATACAGAGTGTAATCTCGTCAGCCAGTGCTCATTAAGAAATGAATCTTAATAATATTATAAACGCGAAAGTTTGGAAGTATGGATGTTTGTTACTCTTTTAACCAAAAACTACTGAACGGATGTTAATGAAATACAGTAATATAGCTTGTAAATCAGAATAACATATAGGCTATAACTTTCTCGCGGATGAAACCGCGGGAAGAGCTAATTATAATATTCTCTGAGAACTTACAGCTCTCTGTTTCTGCTCCTTCATGATGAAGTATGGTTTCCCGAACAGCATCACTGGTACACACATCAGCGCCACGATCACGAAGAACTGCAAACAAAAACAATTTGAGTACCACTGGCCTTTAACAACCATACGGCACGCCTGTATTGTATGAAACACTGCCGAAATATCGGGAACTCAATAAAAAGAAATAAAATGTGACATCGAACCCCTGGTTTAAAAAAAAAATTGGTGCTAGTTGGTGGTTTGTATTCGCACGTTTCGAATTGGAAATGTAAAATTACAATGATTATTTAAAAGAGCAACACGCAAGTTTCTTCCTCGTTCTTCTTGTGATGAGACAGATTTCCGAATGAGCGGTAGATAACTATGACTATTCAAAAGTGCTTAAATTGAATTTATTTGAATAAATAATTTCTTTCCTAATTGTATGTATAAAGAATGACCTCGTCAAATTTAAAACAATATATTTTCGGGACCCCTTGGCAGTATGCATGCATGCACACTCGACCTGCCCACTCATGCATAGACAAAATATGTCCTTTAAAAAGTACACATTCTACCCTGGGGAGATAATAACTATCGCTCCTGAGAAACTCCTTAGATACTTGTTCCTGACGGGTCTAGGCAGCGAACTTTAAAAAAGTGCCAGCACGACAGATCTATGTCTATAGTCTTTTTAGCACCAAGTAATAGCTCAATTTGCTTAATAAAAAAAATAGGCAATTGAATAATCTAGCTAATGACTAAAACAACACTGCGTTTATTGTTAAAAAAAAAATTGTGTCCAAGTATAGCACTAATTTTTAAGTAAGATTATATTATCTTTAGTTTAGTTCTGTTTAGTTCAACTGTGTTCCCAACTGAAAATCAGCGCTGGAAACTAACTTTCTACCACTATGAATTGTGGTCTAAATTGACCTTATTTTGTAATATGTAAATTCCAACATTAACTCTGTTTTGTAATGTGTATAAATTGTATTTTTTTATCATTATTCTTGTGTCAATACGAGTCAAAGAAATCTATTTAATTCTTAATTGCATTCAATTTCCGTATCTAGCTTCAGTTATTTTTTAAGTAAACCGTCCTTAGAGTCACCCTGGGGTTGTAGGCCCTACGGATGCCCCGCGGATGCCCCGCGGAGGGCGGATGGGCCGGTGTGGGGCGGATGGGCCGGTGTGGGGCGGATGGGCCGGTGTGGGGCGGAGGCAGCGCGTTACCTTTTGCAATCCAATCTGTCCTGGATACATGGTGTCGTCGCACTCCGGCCGCGTGTTGGGGTCCGTCTTGAACAGCATCATGTTGATGAAGGTGATGAGGATCGACGGAGCACAGTACGCGCTCGTCTTTATAACCTCTGCAATGATAGTATGACCATAAGCATCACCATGTAGAAGAAGAGTGTCAGGAACACGATCTGCGGGATGAACTCCACGCAGATGCTGATTTCATTAGCACTTTGTTTATTTATATAACTTCAATGCACAAAATACTATGACGGTAGATTTGACATATCATAAGAGTCTGTAATAGACTATAGGTCTATATAATAATTAATAGAGGTCTATATAATAGGTCTATATAATAAGGAATAAAGATATATTGAATTTGAATATATATAGGAAACACTCAGACCAGTACAAACAAGCATACTCATGAATACAAATGTTCGTATCATGCGAGTAATCGAACCCGCGAGCATCTGAAGTGAGGCGGTGTGCTAAACCGCTAGACCACCGAGCCTTCGTCATTACAAGCAAGATTTACGATTAACATATGAACTAACCAGGATCCGAACTGCCTAGGAAGTCAGCATCAGGTCCGTACTTCACCCACTTGATGAACATAAGCATCACCATGTAGAAGAAGAGAAGCACCAAGAACATGATCTGAGGGATGAACTCCACGTAGATGCTGATGCGCCGCTTGAAGTAACTACACCAAACAAAAGTTATCTTTTATATATAATAATAACTAGCTGTGCCCGCGACTTCGTCCGCGTGGAATTTAACTTATTTTTTCTAAAATAAAAGTAGCCTAAGTCACACGGGTTCGCACGGGTGTACATGTATTATACATATAAACCCATCTCTTGCCATCACTTGTCATCTATTAAAAAAAAAACGATTCAAAATCCGTTGCGTAGTTTTAAACATTTAAGCATACATAGGGACGGACAGACAGCGACAGCAACTCTGTTTTATACTATGTAATATGTAATAATGATATTACACAAAGGAACAATACTAACTAGAGCCAGGAAGGGAAACCGAAGGAAACAATGTAAAGCAGTGATAATTTAGAATACAATTTGGTATTAGAAATACTTGAAATATAAAGCTTATTGTTCAATATCTACCCGTTATCATCGTTAAATAGAAAAATGTCATTTTTCATATTAGAGTCATCGTTAGTAAATCAACTTGTGTTCCTAAAATAAAAGCGCTTTGCCTTACTCCTTATTACATCAGCTCACCTAGTAACAAACGGACCGTCAAAATCGGTCCAGCCATTTCAGAGATTACGCGCGCACGCAAAAATTTAAAAAATGTTATTTTGTGAATTAAATATTCAAATGTAGAAAAAACGGTTATTTCAATATATCGTTATTTTATTTATATGTATAGATTAAATTAACCACGCCGTCTTAATCATTATATAAACACTTAAAATGATATATAATACTTCTGTGTAAATTTAAAACTTTAAAGGAACAAATAATTTAAATAAATTAAAAAAAAACATTAAATGCTTGTCTTGTAAAAAGATACATTTTGAATACTACCATTTTTCTATTTAACCGACGATATATAACTGTACTGCCAGAGTTTTTTCTGTAGGTCGTAGATATAGATTTCATACTAAAATTTTTCAGCATATAATACTTCCCAAACACTTATAAAAAATAATCAATAAACAAAAAAAAAACATAAGTGGCCAGTATTCCACAATGGGGTATGTATAATTTTACTATTTGACATATATAATTGTACTGTCACAGAGTTTTTTTTCTGTAGGTCGTAGGTATAGATTTCATACTAAAATGCCCCAAAACCTTTCACGCTGGTGAAATCGCGGGTAAAACACGGATAAAATATACAAATATACTAACATGTGATTCCAGAGTGACAGACAAACTCCGAACAGCATGTGGAAGACGCCAATGATGATGGAGATCTTCATCTTGTAAGCGTTCATGAAGATGATCTTATTCGCCTCCGCGAGCTGTGAAACACGTGTTTTAGTATGTCGTATATAGAGTACTAGCTTTTGTCAGCGGCTTCGCTCACTTTAATTTATCCTCTTAGGAGTTGAATTTATCAAAATTCTTTCTTAGGGGATGCCAACGTCATAGTAGCTTTATATATGCAAAGTCTCAGCCCGATCGATTGACAAAGTTTCATACTACGTTATGACGTAGTATGAAACTTTAAACATTTACCTGCATATCAAATTTCAGCCCGATCCGGCCAGTGGTTTGGGCTGTGCGTTGATAGATCACTATGTCAGTCAGTCACCTTTGAGTTAGGTATATTTAGATATCTTATTAATATTATAAACTCAAAAGATTCTGAGTTTGGATGGATATTTGTTACTCTTTCATGCAAAAACTACTGAACGGATTTTGTTGAAACTTTACAGTAATATAGCTTATACATCAGAATAACATATAGGCTATAAATTTCACAAAGATGAAACCGCGGGCACAGCTAGTAGTATATGTAGAGTAGATAGTATTGGCAATTGCGTAATGTTTTATAACAAAGTTTAGTTTTAGTTCCTGAGATTAGCCCGTTCAAATAAACAAACTCTTCAGCTTTATATATTAGTATAGATGTACCATACATGGCCAGCAATGGAGTTATTAGTCCACATTACTAACTGGGGGTAGATAGTTCCCCTCCGGGAGTAGAAAATATTAAACAAATTGTTAATGTTAAAGCCAAATACCTGCCAAACTGGATCGATGCCGAATGGATACGGGATCTGAAGGTAGTCTTTGGAATCGGGATTAAGCTGCAACAATTTGTTGGTCAACAAATCGGATTCATTGTAATTGTTCCGCCACGACGATCCGAAAATGTTAAGACTTTTGGAGAATATATCGTTGTATATCAGCCCCGTATACATGGAGAAGAGGCCCATGAGAAGAATGATGTAGCGACCGCCGAAGAAGATGGTCCATATCTGTTGGAGAATAATATAATATAATAAATTCTAACCTTAATATCTAGGCTCATTATGTCAACACTACTTATTAATATAATACTACTAAATACTTTTCGGTACTCGTTGTCTATCATCTATATATATATATATATATATTTGTAATTATAATTGTAATGACTGTTTGTACCAATATAAATTAAAAAAAAAAAAAAAAATTCCTACAATATTTAATTTTTTTTCTTTGTTCCCAGGTTACTAAACTAAGTAGAAAATTGTATTTTAGGTACCAGTTCCCTGATTTTACAATTTACAAATATTGGAATTACAATTGACTGAAAACATAATAAAAAGAGAATTAAAATAGGTATTAACTTAAACTTAATAGAACGTCATTACTTATAGTGTGTTTCTGTGTGTATGTGTGAGTGTGTGTGAGACAGACAGATAGACAGAGAGAGAGAGGGAGATATTAATATCTTGAGGCCTTGTATCAATTTGTTTCTAATGTAATGTATGTAAAGTAACGTACCTCGCTGTCGATCTTCTTGGCTTGGAGTGGCTTCTCCTTGTAGCACATCCAGAAACCGAAGGCGGCCATCAGCGCTCCGTGGCCGAGGTCCCCGAACATCACCGCGAAGAGGAACGGGAACGTTATTATCGTGTACGGAGCTGGCAACACAACACGTCACTCAATTAATGCAAGACAGGGATATCTTTTTTTTTTTGACAATTCACACCGCGTCTTCTAGACCCAAGTTAAGCTCGCTAAAGCTTGTGTTATGGGTCTAGATAACTGATACATATACATATATATTTTTTTCTATGTACATATCATATTTCGAAAACACTCAGATTAACACAAAAAATCATACTCATGAATGCAAATGTTTGTGCCGTGCGAGGAATCGAACCTGCGACCATCGAAAATAAGGCGGTGTGCTACATCGCTAGACCACCGAGGTAGTTGTCTATCATCATCTGCTTCTTCCTTATCCGGCTTATTGGCTTATTTGGGGTCGGCATAATATGTTTTTCTCTTCCATTCATCTCTGTTCTAGTTTTGTCTGTGATATTTTTTGTATTTTTTTAAATACATACATATTATACATAGAAAACACCCAGACCGATACAAACAATCATACTCATGAATACAAATGTTTGTGCCGTGCGAGAAATCGAACCCGCGACCATCGGTCGTAAAGCGGTGCACTAGACCGATGGACCACCGAGGTCGTCAAGTCTTTAGGGGGTCAAGTAGGGTTGCCAACTATACTGTTTTAAACATTATTATACTGTTATTTACTAAATTATATTCTTTACTGCTGAATAAACATGTAGTATACAAAATACTTTTTTCAGCATTTACTGAAAGAGTTTTTCAGTAATTAATAATATTGTAAATTAGAAAGTTGTGTGGCAAGTTCTAAAAAATTTTATTTAAAACAATAAATAAATAAAATACTATCCATTTTTCTAAAATACTGTGTAATATTCTTCACAGACAGACAACAGACAGACAGAATATAATTTATATCTTGTAAAAAAAGTTGGCAAGCCTAGGGTGAAGGGGTGCAGCCGCACCGGGGAGCGAGTTCCTGAGGGGTTCCCGGTGTTAGAAATCAGGATTTATTAACCTCTAAACTCAATCAATGTCAACGTAATTGCACCTATATATGACTTGTACGTATATATGTATATACCACGGTTTAAACTTTAAAACATTTTACCACGTGCTGTTCCAGAGAAGTTACCTCCAGCATACACTTAGATTATGGAATGAACTACCTGCCGAGGTTTTCTCAAGAGACAGCATGGGGTTTTTCAAGAAGGGTATATTAAGGTTTAAATGTCATATATATTTAATTATCAGCCTAAACAATAAGTTTCAAGTTTCTAGTTTTAATAATACTGCCATATAAACTTTTCTCTCCCCTTTCAACCTCTTACAACCCTTTTTTCGCATTGATAATTAGCTAATGTCCTTGTAAGTTTCAAGTTTCTAGTTTTAATAATACTGCCATATAAACTTCCATCTCCCCTTTCAACCTCTTACAACCCTTTTTTCGCATTGATAATTAGCTAATGTCCTTATAAGTTTCAAGTTTCTAGTTTTAATAATACTGCCATATAAACTTCCATCTCCCCTTTCAACCTCTTACAACCCTTTTTTCGCATCGATAATTAGCTAATGTCCTTATAAGTTTCAAGTTTCTAGTTTTAATAATACTGCCATATAAACTTCCATCTCCCCTTTCAACCTCTTACAACCCTTTTTTCGCATTGATAATTAGCTAATGTCCTTATAAGTTTCAAGTTTCTAGTTTTAATAATACTGCCATATAAACTTCCATCTCCCCTTTCAACCTCTTACAACCCTTTTTTGGCATTGATAATTAGCTAATGTCCTTATAAGTTTCAAGTTTCTAGTTTTAATAATACTGCTATATAAACTTTTCTCTCCCCTTTCAACCTCTTACAACCCTTTTTTCGCATTGATAATTAGCTAATGTCCTTATAAGTTTCAAGTTTCTAGTTTTAATAATACTGCTATATAAACTTTTCTCTCCCCTTTCAACCTCTTACAACCCTTTTTTCGCATTGATAATTAGCTAATGTCCTTATAAGTTTCAAGTTTCTAGTTTTTATAATACTGCTATATAAACTTTTCTCTCCCCTTTCAACCTCTTACAACCCTTTTTTCGCATTTATAAGTAGCTAATGTCCTTTCTCAGGGTCCAAACAATCTGTGTACCAAATTTATATCGGTTCAGTAATTATGGCGTGTAAGAGCAACAGGCAGATAGTTATTTTCGCATTTATAATATTAGTAAGTGTTGGCGACAGACCTGTTTTTAGACCATATATTTTTTATTTACAATTTTTAACACATATATTTTATTACATTATTTTTCTATTGTTGTGTCATATATGTTACTAAGTACATTACTATAAAATTATTTATTTTACCCTACATGCACTGCCGTTGTCAGCCGTATTAGTAAGGAACGAATTATTTGTCAAAGGTATTTCATTAGTATATTATTTGTTTATTTAAAATTTTATTGATTTTGTACAATAGGCGGGCTTAATGCTAATAGCATTTACGAGCCAGTCTTAGGGAGTGCAGAGATACTCGAAGGCGGTTTAGTTTTAATAAATTAAATGTAATTATATTAAATAGATATAAGATCATACATATACGTGATAATATACTACATACAAACAAATTATGAGCATACATACATATATATTCTTATTATTAATCACTACTGGCCCCACAATGACATACCTGGATTGACCTCCCTGTAGGTTGCGACACCATACGCGTATATAAGGTTCTGGAAGGCGGATGTGAACTTGTTAGTGCGGTTGTACGTCGGCGGGTCTTCTATGGTCTCCATACGATTGAGGATCGGAGGTACCGAGCTGCCGCTCCGTTCCTATAACATAAGAGTAACATCAACTTAAATAAATCTTATATGAAATTCACAATATTCATTACCATACTCCGCCAATGATGCTTGAGGTTACTTGTTTTATAAAAAAAGCAGTTAGTCTTTGTTTCAGTGCAAATATTTAAGAGGCCTTTCACATTTTTTGGCGTAAAAGCGGGGTCTTTGGGGTTCTGGTTCTAAGAAATTAAGAGTCGGATATACATTTTGATTCCTGAATTATATAGATAGATATCTTATTTTACATCTTAAATAATTTTCTCTTTATTAGTCTTCCTAATTTCTAAAATAGTTTATTCAAAAACGCAAGAGAGAGAAGTTTGGGGTCGTCGTTCATTAATAAACAAACATAAATTGATATGATATCTTCACTAAAACTATAATTTTTATAAATTGAGACAGCATCGTTTTTTTTTATTTTCAACTTAAATATCTAAAAAATTGATCATAATTAAACCCGAAATTTCAACAAAACTTTGCCATAATCATTTCTAATTTTCTCATAAATACAACGAAATTTTTGCATAAAAAAAACATAATAATAAAGTTAATATACTTGTAAATTAGAAAAAAAAAAAAAATATATAAGTTTCTAAGAAAAAAATAAACAATAATAATAATTTAAAGTGGTATAAATTCCGTTGCGCCAAAAGTAAATTCTCAGTGCTACGCTAGCACTCGTCGAGGTAGGGCCTATGCCATTTTTTACAACACCGCTAAGATAAGATATTCGTCAGTGAACATTAGTATAGAGCGACTAAACCATTTTGATAATTTAAGTAATATTTAATTAATTTTGCTAATATATACTTATTTCTACGAATATTAATTTAAAGTTGTTGTTAAATATATATATATATATATTTATTTTAGCATGCCAAGACAAAAGTACAGTTATGCTACAGATAAAACCTACCTACCCTGCTGCACTATGAAAAGCACAAGAGCATGGTATTTCGTCACACTAATGGCAATTAATTGTTAAAAATAAAAAAAACCATTTTAGTATTTTTAAAAATAACGCTAATCTGAGAGAAAAATGTAAGAAAATGTAAACGAATTTTACTTTATGTTTATTTTGTAGTTTTTTCTAAATTAAAATAGATTGATAAAAATACCATTATTATTTTTACGTATATTTGTCTTGTGTTATATCATCTAGTATGTAATGTGGAAATTAAAATTATATATAAATATATAATTCCTTAATGTTTAGAGATATTTTATCCAATTTACTTTATTTTATTTTACACAATACAAATATTTCTAAATTGTAACCATTGTGATATATATATTACTGTACAGTTATGTCAAATAGTCAATAATTATAAAGTCAACAACATTATAAATGTTTTTATTTAGAGACATTTCAGCTGGTGGCTTCGAACATGGGATATATAGATTATCGCGCGTTTAAAGATCCGTGTACAGTATTGGGACGTTATATATAAACCTTCCTCTTGAGTCTATCTATTCTGTCTATTAAATAATAACAAATCAAAATCTGCGTAGTTTTTTAAGATCAAAACATACAGATCTATTACATATATAAAATGGTATTGGCAGATCATTTGGAATCATCGTGAACTTATATAGGTATATAAGCTGGTTGTACGTCGGTTATAATGGTCTACAATTAAATTGTCTTTCAATTCTTTAGTAAGCAACATATCCAATGGGACGCCATTGCACATGTTCGGCGGGCTTAAATTTCATGATTGGATCATGCTTTTGAGAGGTTTGAGCAGTTAGTGTAGGAAATCACTATCTGTGCTTCCATAAAAATGGGCTCTCATATTTGTCAGTAGTTTTAAACTTTCAATTAAAGTCCATATAACATCTTTCAAAATCTCCAGAAAAGTATAAAAGTAATCACGCCAATGAGAGCAGAGGTGTTTCTAAGGTCTTTTAAGGTTCTGTCAAAAGTCTCTATAGCTCATGGTGATTTCATTCCATATAAGCAATGAGGCGTCTTGTAATAATCTATAAAAAGTTTTGATATTAACACGTAATTATTTATCAAAATCAAGAATCGGCCAACCAAGAACGAGATCTGCAATATCAGTCATGCGGCGACGTCAATGATGCAGGAACAGCAATGATTTAATTAAAAAAATGGCAAACAAGCTGACGGTTGATTGCCATTCCTGAGAATGATTTTATTCCTGAGGTGTTATTCCCCATGTACCCTATTCACTATATATACACAGATATCTATATAGATAGATATACATATACACAGATAGTATACCTTGAGAAAGGTCATAGACTACTTTATAGTGCGAAAAAGGTTTGTAAGGGATAAAGCGGAGATGACAGGTTGTATAAAAGTATCGTCATTGTTTAAGTGAAACAATGAAACTTTTTTGGGTTATAATCTAAATATATTTCCTTTATTTGGTAAATTGTTATACCACGTTGACGAAGTCCCTAATATACATATAAGGATGGAAACTTTAATATATTTATATATAAATAAAATAATTATTTGCCTAAGTTTAATATTTAGAACAAATAAATAATGCATCCGACTCTTATAATAAATTATCTTGTATTTATTAATAAATAAATTTAATTAATATATAATAAGAATTAATTAGTACATTTATGTTATAGTAATTTCATCTTCCTGTCCTTATCCCAATTATTTGTTACTCATATTACTTAAGGTTTTGGCTTTTAGTTATACAATCGATCACCAACTATGAATAATATAATAAAAAAATATGGTCATTATTAGCACTTTGATAATTAATATAAATCACGTTATTTAAAAAAATTCAATAAGTATTTTATGTTACTCAGTTAAGTAAAACATATCACATTATTAATTAAAATATTACAAGGATCAAAATGGTTCATACTACCACACCGATTGCGCTACACGTTTATTTGCGTCTGTGTGCGAGTATTACTGTGTGTGTGCGTAAATCCATACAATTAAACCTAAAGTTGAGCGGCATCATTTTGTAATAGTCCTCTTAATTAAAAAAATCTATGTTGACACATGATACACCTTATATTTATTAATATCTATACTTTATTAATTTTGTGTTAATGCATTTTAAATAAAAACCCACACATTGTTTCTATTAACCCTATAACAATAGGTAATTAATATATTTAATCGAATTTGGTGTTATTTTGCGGAAGTCCATTTCACTACTCGATGTATTTATATTATTTTGTTTATTTCCGCTACAATTAACATGTGTAGACTCAATAACGGTTGGAATTTGATCACCACTAGAGAAGGTCGTAGCGCTGGTCAGTTTTCCACACCGAATATTCGTAGTCTCACACATGTTAATTAAACAAAATAATATAAATCCAGCGAGTAGTAAATAGGCAATTAATATAAAAAATCAAAAAGCTTTATTCAAATTAGTCTTAGGGATTAAAAAACAGACTGTAGTGCTTATGTCTACGAAATATCAATATATTCAAATTCAAATTCAAAAATCATTTATTCATGTAGGACATTTTAGCCGCTTTTTCCCTATCGTCCAGTTCGGTATATAGATCCAATTGAGAAGAAATTCCAATTGAATTGAAATCCAATTGTAAATTAGTTTTAAAATATTATTTCATATGTATGTTAGTCTATAAGGTATATATAATATGGGCCTAGTTGCCTGAAATAAATAAATAATAATAAAATAAAATAGCCTGAAGAATAGTCCGAGTTAGTAAGGAGTTAGGGTATCTATATGTAATACATACAATCTTATCTATTTTATTATTATTATCTACCATTAAAAAAAATATCGTGATGTGATAGAATGATACTCACAGTGCCCCTCCTGAGAGCCAGCTGTATGGTCTCCAAGTCGAGCGCGGGCACCCAACATTCAGCGATCAGACACTTCTGAGTCACGTCCAGGTTGAACAGGTTCAGTGTGTGGTAGATGGCCTTGATCTTGCGTACTTTTACGAACCAATTCTTGATGTTCTTGGCGGCTGCGACCAGCACGCGGTGACGATGATCTTGGGTTTGGCCGAGGACCTGTCAAAATAATATAATATCTCAGGACAATTTAGACAACGCCATCTAGTTCCGAGCTAAGCAGAGCTTATGTTATGGGTACTAGACAACTGAGATAAATACATGGATACTTTTTTGCAAATACATCTAAAATCTAAATATATATAACTCAAAGGTGACTGACATAGTGATCTATCAACGCACAGACATTAAAAAAAGACTAACATAAATGTAACTTAGCCAAAAACCTTACCAGATAGAGGCATTTTGCGGGGAGCTCTATCACCAAGGAGGACAAGGAAGAGATATCACCATAAAAGCCACGACCACTCTGTCAAGAGTGAACGGCTGAAGAAGAAGAAGAGTATAAGTCATTTTCAAGACAAATATTAGAAAATTACTAATGTAAATGTAACTCCTATATCTATAGCCAAAAACCGTACTAGATGGAGGTAAATTGCGAGGAGGTCTATCAGCAAGGAGCACAACGAAGAGATACCATCATAAAAGCCAAGACCACTCTGTCAAGAAGATACACGTAAAAAGGCAAGGAGAGTGTATATATAATTTGAATTGTTAGTAAAAAATTGGAAAATGTGACGGGTAGATAATTATAACTATGTCATTTTCAAGACAAATATTGGAAAATTACTAAAATGCCGTTAACAAGACTATGACATAAATGTAACATTTTTCACACAACACAATACACGTCGACGGGACCCGATGAGATGTCTGTCGGTGCGTCATTTGTTCTAAGCATGAAATTATATGCATATCATTTTAGTGACATTGACACGTTTTGTTTATGACAAGTGACGGCCTCGGTGGTCTAGCGGTTTAGCATACAGCTTTACCTCCGATGGTCGCGAGTTCGATTTCTCGTACGGCATAACCATTTATATTCATGAGTACCTATTATTGTTTGTATCGGTCTAGGTGTTTTCTTGTATATTATGTATGTATTTAATACTTAAGTATTTATATCAGTTGTCTAGTACCCATAACACATTGTGGAACTACTGACATACCAATACAAACAATCATATATATATATATATATATATATAGACAACCGATAGATACATTTTTTTAAGCACATAGAATCAAATTCATGACCTTCGGAAATAAAGTAGTGTATGTTAATACCTATAATGATTATGATACAGCATATATGATATGGCACCATAATTTAAGGATTTTGTAACTGCCTTCCCATAGCTTGGAGCAGACAAATCAATAAAACGCAAATAGTTCAAGCATAATTTAGAACACTGGTGTTCAGGGGCGGATCTACCTAAGGGCTTTTTTGGCTGCAGCCCAGCCAGGGGCCCGAGGATACAAAGGGCCCCCAGTCCCCACTGAAACGATATTTAGAACATAAAAAAAGTATCTAGAATGTTAAAAAACCTATCATAAGGTTGGCAGCCCTGAGATCAACCAACCCATGCAAGTGCGCGTCTATCGAAAGGGACAGGGAATTTTTGGTCCGTGTATTTTTTTAGTTGAGTAATATAATTAGGTAGGCCCCTAAGTAGATTTAGCCCAGGGCTCCAGAAATTCACGATCCGCCCCTGCTGGCGTTTATATACCGAAACTGTGGACTACAATTTCAGACAAGGAATAAGATTAATTTCGATGTTAAAACCTTTAATTCAACTATGACTTAAATAACAACCTTTTGTGTGCTGAACTTAGTAATTATTTTCGATTGGCGACAAATTTTGCTACATGTTTATTATGATAATAAAATGTATACCAGCCGTTTTAGTGTGCCAAAGCCGTACAAGGCAACACGCATTGCTACTAAGTTATCACTTTGGCCTTAATAAGAATGTAGTTGAGTGCAAGACTTGTGCGAAATTAATATATGAAATATGTGATGGTTGTTATTTCTGATAAGTTAGATTCTTGGCGAATGGAAAAAAATCTTATTTTAGATTCGACATACGATAAAAATAATGCCCATTATAATATTATCCATAGGAACTATTCCTAAAACACTGCATTTATGCTTTAGCAATAGAAGAACTAAAATTAAATAAACAATTATATATTTCACTACAGAAGGCTAGGCTATGCACCGCGCGAGGAATCGAACCCACGACCATCGGAAGTAAATCGGTGTGCTAAACCGCTAAACCACCGAGGCTGTCGATTAATATTATTATTAGTAAGGAATACGTACCGTGTTCAAATCTTCGATCCTGGTCATAACTCCCATGGCCATCTCGCGGCGGTCGGCGGGCGCCTCCGGGCATGGGTACAGGGTCGCTCGGAATCCCTCGCAAATCTTCTTCACGCGAGTCTTCAGCTGGTCACCTTGGAAGAATATGATGAACACCGACTTGAACACCTGGTCCGACTGGGGGCAGAAGAGAATCAAATTAATTTCGTCTTTGTTTTATTTACAGACTATTTAATATCACGATGCTTGGAACAAAGTAGAGACTTTCAGGTTTTTAGTCGGTAAAAGTCCAGCAGCCACCACATAAAAAAATAATCTTAGTATTAGGGAGAAAATAATTCTGAAACCGCACGGTAAGGCAATAATCAAATGAAGGGGGGAAGAAGTCAATACAACAGAGAACTCGCAAAGAAGTCCGATGCTAGAGCGGACCACTGCCGTCGTAGTCGCGGTGGACTGTCATAGCGATTCGCTATATCCGCGACTCCGCATATGACGTTGGACGAACATCTTTTAGCAGTTTTTAGTAAGAGTCCCACAGTCCCACAAACGCTTGCTTCGCCGAAGCGAGCTGGTCTCCATTAAGACTCCATGTAAAAGATCTTCGCGTAAAAGAAAAGGCAATCATAAAGCAGGTCAATGATCCACTTACCGAAGATGGGTCTTCAAGCGGAGTGTCAATCTCTGCCTGTCTTAGGAAGACGTTGCCGCGGCACGCGCGCCACAGCATCCGTTCGAACGCGGGGATGCGCTCACGCAGGATCACGCCCGCGACGAAACTATACATACAGGTATATTAGCAGGCGCACAAACAATTTGACCGTACCTTACCCATTTTTTCTAAACCAGACCAATTAAATGTGCAAGAGAGATCCCCTTATAAAATGAAAGGTTTTTCCGAACTATTCTATTCCAACAAGCCATCGCCAGCCTTAAAAGGTTCACCGGACAAACATTGGGGCGAGAGCAAAGAATATTCCCACCCAAGGACTTATGGAGCGGGTGACGTCCAACTTTTGTCCGACGTATACGATTCTGTCTGGGGCTTCGAACGTCGGCTTCGGCCATCGTAATTTCCATCTCCCTTATTGTATTGAATATATATTATATTGAAACGGTTATAGAGTTATGTTAATTTCCAATATATAATTATAATTTGCATCGTGAAATGCAAATAAATATATAAAAGGGAATATATCAATGAACAAGCCTCACAGAGATGAGGAAATAAAAAATGGAATCACAATAAATTTTAAATTACTCATAAACAATCTTTATTAATTTTAGAATTCATTTCTGGAAACACTAATAAGAAACATTTAATTTGACATATTTGACGAAGGTCCACGAAGTTCCGACTAGCATTTTTAGTTGGTCTGGGTTCTTTGTTTGTTTTTATAACCCAGGATCGCTGACATTGGTCGGTGCGCATGTGAAATGGGAACATAAGACTCAATTTGAATTATGACGGGTGAATATCCCGTCATTTATATATCTAAAGATCTGTCTCGCATCTCAATTGCGCATACGGAAATGTCCGCTACCCTTATCATAAAAACAACTATGATCGTGATGAAAGAATTTGCATTAAGTTCTGTATGTATTCAAATCACGCGATTGACAACTCTATAGTAATAATGATTAATATTCAAATCGCGTAACAGAGTATCCTTGCAAGAACGCTTTCACCACTCATCCATTTTTGACGTGATGTATTTACACCTGATGGCAGAATGGATTGTAAACATGATATACTATATCCAGAGGATCTATTCTATTTAACTAATTATAAAATAAAAATGCAGTTTGTAAACTAATTAAAAAAAAGAACGTCCGACCACAGAGTACCATAAACAAAGATTTTGCAGCCAATGATCATGCTTCATTCTGAAAGTTGTGAAAAACTATAATGAATACTTAATATGTAGTTTAATTTTTAATTTAATTTATTTACTAAATATTCTTACTTATTATAAGTAAAACAAAATTACTTTTAGTTTATTTAAGTTAATTTATTATGCCTCTGAACCTATCATCTTATGTGGCATTACAGCCTAGTCAGTCACTCAGACAGTTTGTTATTACAATATCCTTTATGACTAATTTTATATATATAGTACTCTGTGATTACACGTTAAACTCGTATTAGTAAATCGAAATCACAAACAGAACTCGAATTACGGCCATATACGTCAAAGAATAGAATGTGATACAACATTAGTCAGGTTTCATATCAATCTGCATGAACAATGATTGGAGAAATAAAAAGGATGAAATACTATAATTCGAGCACTGCAAACCGAACCTTATACCAAATGACAATAAGGTTTGGTCTGATTAAAACTAATAAATCCAATAAGGTATCATCACATCTGTCTACAGCCTTAAAAGTATTTGAAAAAAATATATACAGAAAAGTTGCAAAAAAAATAAGCCAGATGTGAGTTCATCCTTCAAAATAAAGAATGTACACATTTTGCCGAGAACTTAATTTATTGATTATATATCAATTTAGCGGTAGATGTGGTATTTACAAACTGCAAAGGAATATGTTGGTATAGGATTTCCAAGTATTTCGTGACGTCACGTTTCACCTTGAAACAAAATTGTCGTTTTCCTTTTAAGAAAAAGGTTAAATTGTTCGAACACATCACTAACCAATGAACCAATAGTTTGTATCCCACAGATTTTACAATCAAAAATAGCCTTTAATTGGTCATAAATAAAATACTAAATATTTTTAGCGCTTTAAATGGTTTTTTCAGTGTATACACGAAAAGTCTATATATCTATTTAAAAAAAAAGAGTAGCTTTTGTTGTGTGAATAGTAAACTCCAGAACAATTGCAACAATTTCTGAATTACTTTTACTGTTTGAATCTTTTACTTTTACTTCAGTACTAAGTGATTTAGAATATATAATAAATAATAATCTCAGGACAATTCACACGGCGCCATCTAGACCCAAGTTAAGCTAGCTAAAGCTTATGTTATGGGTACCAGACAACTGATACAAATACATAGATATATATTTTTTCATAAATACATACATATTATACCCAGACCGATAGAAACAATCATACTCATGAATACAATTGTTTATGCCGTGCGGAATCGAACCCGCGACCATCGGAAGTAAGGCGGTGTTCTAAACCGCTAGACCATTGAGCTAGATTTCTATATATTAACATAGTATATACATGTATATATTATGTCAATATATAGAGAACTTATAAAGTTATATTAGAAAATTACGATACTAAAAACGACTCATAATCTTTACATAGTATAAAATAAAGATCTCTTAAGCTACGCAACACATTTTAATGCTGTTTTTAGCAATAGACAGACTCAAAAAGAAGTCATATCCTAGGATTGACAGTAGTCGTACGGACTTGTGGTCGACATGTTTGTTATGAATATTAGAGAAGTGGCGATAGATCAAATAAATATTTATAACTTCCTTGGCGAAATGCCATAGACGTCCACTTATAGAATTTGGTTTCCCCGCACATTTACATAACGTCTGTTAGCATGCTATACAAAAAAAATTAATTGGAGTGACTGTTTGTAATTTCAAATTAACAGCTATTCACTAAAAGCATATCAAAGTATATATGACTTTCATAAAAGCAAATAAAAAAAAAACTGTCTGTCTGTTTATTCTTGCTAATCTCTGAAACGGATGGAACTATTTTGATAGGACCACTCGGAAATAGTTTAATGTTATAAATAGGACTTAGGATATTTATATAACTTAGGATACTTTTATTTAAAATATATATTTATGTTATTTAAAAAAAAACGTCAAATACCACGCTTACAAAATCGCGAGTAGCTTAGTTACTAATAAAAATGCCATACTCATATTGACACTATAAAATCTGTTAAACAGACATCATAATCAGTTTAAAGTTTTTTTTTTAATAAAATTTGTTTGAGGCAATTTTTTATATCACGGAAATGACTTACGATTTGGACCAAATATTGTATTTAGGATAAAGTTTATTACGTCTATCATCTCCGAAATTCACTATTAAAAAAAGGCGCTCCCTCACGTACTTAACATTAACGTATCATTAAACGGTTATAAATAATAATAATTTTATTATGGACGCCGTATGGTGACCAAATATGTACGGTGAGTATGGACATGACTTGAAAAACTATAGGAAAACTACTGTTAGACTCGCGTATGTGTTATTATATCATTTATATGCAATACTTTGACTTGGTACCATAGACATAATAGGGTTGACGAATTTTTTGCTCCGTTATAATATTCATCGTTAACGACGTAAGCTAATTCTATGTACAATTATTTTTTTGCAAATATTTTATATTTAGAACATTGTATTTTGAAATAAGAACAATGTTTCTTTTTTTTTTGAGGCTTTGAGCATTTTTCAAGTCAGTAGGACTTGAAAAATGTTGCGGTGAAATGATACGATGTTGTTGGTTGAGACGATGTATATTATAGATGATAATAGACTGACATTATGTACATAGAAATATTGATCTTATATACTAAATAACAATAGGAAAATGTAAGGTGGGGTGACACTGTTTAGACACAGCAGTGCTAAGTAGACAATATTCGATTTGTCTTACTAGCCATTATTAAATGCAATTATTATTTTGATGTATCTAGGTAACTGTGTCCCATAAAAAACTATAGGAAAACTACTGTTAGGCGCGCGTACGTATTATTATATCATTTATATGCAATACTTTGACTTGGTACCATAGACATAATAGGGTTGACGAATTTTTTGCTCCGTTATAAATATTCATCATTAAACATACTGATTGTTAACGACGCCGACGTACTGGCAGATAATTTTATGTTCAATTATTTTTCTGCAATATTTTATATTTAGAACATTGTATTTTGAATAAAGAACAATATTTTGGTTATTGTTCTCAGATTTTGAAAACACAATTTACATATACCACCGATACTTATAACAAATGACAAATCTAAATCGCCGGAGCCAATAAAAACCAGAAAAAAAAGTTGATTTTCGCGAATGAACTGGCAGCATAATATTTATAATGTATAAAATTATAAAATTTAATTAATTTAGAATATTGTATTTCGAATTCAGATCAATATTTTAATTACTTTTATTACATTTTGAATTAATTAATTAAAAAAAGAAGACTTACTAAAACTAACATGGTATGTACATCTTTATCTGGTTTAGAAATCGAACTCTTCTGAACCGCATTTGATTAATTTTCTTGGAACATTATTTTGGACATTATACAATACTGCCTAAGGCATGTTACACAGATGAAGTTAAGTTACGACAATTCCGATATTAATTAATTATAAGTTAGGTCCATGCCTCATGTCCTCTTTCCATTCTATCCATCCTTCACTGGTGCCCCGCCAGCATATACCGTTATCGCAGGCGGGTGCACCATTTCATTATCATACTTAAAAAGAAGTTGATTAAATTCTTTCCAAATTGTACCTACAATGAGAATCACTGGCAGTTTTATATTTTCTTTTATCCATATTCAAAATATGATGCAAATTTATTTACATAAGTTAATTGTACAACTAAGAACCTACAATTAAAAACTTTAAAAAATATAATATAATAACTAAAATATATTATCAAAAGGCGTCCCTTTAGGCAAAGTTCCGAAGATACTGGCAGCGTTCGCTCTTTGAATGGCTAGACTAATTCTTTGTCCGAGGTAGCTGCCAGCTCTTCGATCTTCTAGGATGTCGACTAACCTTTTTGTTATTTTCTATAATTTGTTTTATA